TAACAATGAAGTCTCTATCACATCCTGCTTTACATACTGAGAATCATAATCATTCATCCATACAAGTGGTTTGGTAGTTCTAGTGCTCCTCCTTAGAGTGGTAATATCATCAGTATGAGTATCAGGAGTAGAGGTATCCACAGAATGGGTTGTGTCAGTAGTATTTGACACTGGTTTAGGTATGGAATCTAAGACATCTGATTGTGGTAGAGGAACAGAAGGAAGTACATAAGATGACTTCTTATAAGGAAACACATCTTCATGAAACACAACATCTCTAGAAACAATGATTTTTCTAGTACTAATATCATATAATTTGTATGCTTTCTGACCATGGGGATAGCCTATGAAGATGGATTTGGGAGCTCTAGGATCAAACTTATCTTTATGTGGTAAGGTAGTTGTTGCATAACAGAGACAACCAAAGACTCTAAGGTTGGTAATATCTGACTTTTTATGATAGAGGATTTCATAAGGACTTTTGTGGTTCAGTATTGGAGTGGGCAACTTGTTGATCAGGTATGTAGTTGTTAGAATTGAATCCCCCCATAAACACTTAGGTAAATTTGATTGAAATAGTAGTGATCTTGCTACTTGAAGAAGATGTCCATCCTTCCTTTCAACCACTCCATTCTGTTGTGGAGTGTATACACAGGTTTTCTGATGTATACTAAGAAACTTAACAATCTATACTAAGAAACTTACTCCCATTGTCTGTTCTAACTTGCTTAATGGCTTTATCAAATTGTGTGTGAATAAGAGTATAGAAATTCTGTAAAATAGAGAGGGTTTGGGATTTATGATGCATAAAAAAAGTCCAAGTAGATCGACTGAAATCATCTACTATAGTAAGGAAATAATATGCTCCTGTAAGGGATTCTGTTGATAAGGACCCATATACCAACATTTATCAACTAAAAAACACAAGTAGTTTGAATACTACTCAATGGAAACTTTATTGTGTTGTTTTGAAATTGGACAAACTTCACAATGATTGTATGAAGGATTACATGTACAAGATGGTAAGTCTAGACACTGTAAAATCTCATCAGAGGGGTGACCTAGTCTCCTATGCCACAGAACTGATGGTCTCTTGGCAACTAAACAAGAGTATTGGGTTGGTGTATAACTAGGTGTTGCTAAAAAAGGGTGATTTACATGTGTAGAAATGAAATGATGAATATCTTTTGAACTAAAAGACTTCTGATCCAGTATGTAAAGCCTGTTAATGACTGACCCACTCCTATCAGGTTTCTAGCCGCTTGGTCCTACAACAAACAAAAGGTTGTAGAGGAAAAACAATCTATTGGGAAGCAATGGCAAGTTTATTGACTGATATCAAATTGTAGTTAAAAAAGGGTATGTGTAGTGAATCCGGTAAGCTTAATGTGTCTGGTAGAGTTATTTCACCAATATTTCTACTACTTTAATGCTTTCATCTGGTAAACAGACCGGTGTAAGGTTTGAAACTGGTTTATGGGTTTTGAACTTGCACAGTTTAGAGCTCATGTGACTAGTAGCTCCACTATCTAAGATCCAAAGCACTAAAGCAAGCATATCAACTTTACTCAGCTTTCCAAAACTACTCATACCTGCAAAGTCACTGAAATGTGAGAAATTGATGTGCTCAGGGTCATGATTAAGCATCTTTCCCTTCATCAACTTGTTAACTTCTTGTTGCAATCTGCAATCCTCCCAACAGAGCCTGTAGTTCTCCAGCATTGCCTCCTCCATCATGATCAAGAGGAGTTTTTGCCAAGTGGGCTAAAGCTTGTTTTGGTGGTTTCTGATTCTCATTGGACTTATTTCTAGGCCACCAATCTGGATAGCCATGTAGCCTAAAACAATATGCTTCCAAGTGGCCATTCTGCTTGCAATAGTCACATTTCAATAGTCTTTTGGCTACTTTATCCAATTTGAAATCATTCCCTCTTCCTGAGCTACATGTGTTACTCATCTTTCCAGGAAATACAGTCTGATTAAAGGTGTTCTTTCCAGGAAATACAGTCTGATTAAAGGTGTTATAAGAGCTTGTGTTATTATATCCTCCCCCAGTACCTTTGGAAATTCCCCATTGTTACCATAAGTAGTACCTCTACCAACATTTCCATAGGAAGCTGATCCTCTAGATGCAACCATAGCACCGTTATTTTCCACATCATCATAAGTCATGTTCACAACTCTTTGTTTTTCCACATTCAAAGCCATGGCATATGCCTTTTTCACTTCCGGCAATGGTTCAAGCATCAAAATATGATCTCTAACTTCTTTATAAGCATCACTAAGACCAGTTAAGAATTGCATCAGCTTAATACGATTTTCTCTAGTGCTAACTTGTCCAGTAAATTGACAAGTACAACCTCCACATTCACAATCATCAGGTGGATCAATTAACGTCAATTCATCCCACAAACGCTTGAGTTTAGAGTAATAAGCAGTAAGAGTAGTAGTACCTTGTCTAACAGTGCAAATTTCACGCCGGAGATTATACATCTGAGGTCCATTGCCGGTTCCATACCCTTCCTTCAGCTCCTCCCAAAGCTCCTGAGCATTTGATGCCTAGTTGTAGTTATCAACAATGCCCAGTGAAAGTGAATTGAGAATCAACGACACCACTTGATCATCAACCCTATTCCACTGTTCAAAGTCCAATGACCTAGGAGGTGGTCGAGGAACGGAGCCGGTGATGAATCCAAGCTTGTTTTTCATACCTATAGACCTCTGAACTACATAACTCCATGAAACATAGTTGTTGTCAGTAAATTGTGTCGTGACCAGCATCGTCACCGAATTATCGGCTGGAAGCAGAGTCAACGGATGAACATGACCACCATAATTCATCCCCTCAACTCCGTCGCGATGCATTTCTTTTTCTTCTTGCAGAGGATCTTCTCTACGTGCTTCTCGATTTGCTCTATTTCCTACCATTATTCTTCAGAAATTCACAAAAGGAACTCGTAATTCAACCGTCAATCTCAGCCAAAAACTAGATCAAAATGCAGCGAAATGATACAGAGCAGGATTAACCGCTCTGATACCATCTAAAAATCCAAGAATCGATGGGAATTTTGAGTAGAATCCATGAAATTTTGAGTATAGAAACTTAGGGTTTTTGGTAAGCTCTTAATTAGAGAGGAAATCTGATTTTATCAATTGTGTACAAAAATAGAATAAATGTTGGTATTTATTTGATCTGGTTAACTGACATAAGTCACCAGATTTACACATTGGTCCCTAAAGTTCTAGTCAATCAACTATTAGGGAGTCAACTATGAACACAATTATAATCAGATCCTTGAACATCAATTACTTTGATCATCGTGCTGCTGAGATGGATCACCTCCTTCCTGGATTTCTACACTATTTTTCCATCCGAACATGAGATCATCATCAAGGAGGAGGAACTGAACCAATTAGGGAGTTTGACTTTCTTGAAGATTCAAGCTGGGAGTTCTCTTTCGAGCCATATAATCAACATATATTATAATTGCCGAATGCAAACTTGACTTTGGTAGTCCTTTTTAAGTATTAACTATGGGATTTTTTTACCCTCTTTTTCAACCAAGAAAATAAAAAGGTTTTATGTGTTGCGTTTGGTGTTTATTTAATGCTCTCACCTTTGATCTCCTTCCATTAATTTTTTTTATTTTTAATTTAAAGAGTTTATGTGTTACATTTGGCGTTCCTTTAATGTTCGGAATTTTTATCTCCTTCAAATAATTTTTTATTTTATTTATAATTTAAACTTATAAACAAATTAATTTTCATTATTAGTTGAATTTTGATTGGCCATAGTTTCAAGTACTTTTATAGATTTGAATTTTTCTTTTTGTTTATGTGTCTTCTTCTTCTCTTTATGAATTTTAAGATTTCATTAATGAGAATTTGAATGATTATTCCATAATTAAGATAAAATACGAAGAATTTTGTAATTTAAATTTGACAACATGTATAACTTCAAAAATAAGATTTTTATCACTTTTTTTTGTCCTTTCAATTGTATGTTTTCTACGCTCAATGACCTTTTCATCCCAAACTCATTCAAAGTAATCACCTACTCAAATTTTTACTCATTTGTGAAACTTCCAGCTTTGATTTCTTTTTCCTATTTTTTTTTAGGAGAGAAGAGGAAATGGGAGATTGTATTAAAAAATTGATTGTATTATATTTTTTATTTTGTGTATGTATGCCGTCTTATATATATATATATATATATATATATGAGTTAGAATACCATTTGTATTTACACATAATTATACAAGATGTTTTTTACTATACTATAGTATAGCGACGTACGCGCAAAGCGCATTTATTCCATCTAGTAATTAATACATAATATAGCAGCAACAAACCTGTACTTTTCATCATTATTACATGATCATTCGAGTTTGATTCCTTTTCAGATATATTTCTTCTTTAGAGATAGTTAATGACACAAACATATTGTGAAGAGTCTTCAATAGTTTAATTTTTGCCAACATATGAAATCAGAATAGTATTATTAGTTAGTACTATTGTGTTTAGATTGTTTAGATTGTTTTACATTATTCTGAGTAGAGACAAGCTAGGTAGCCAGCTGCTCACTTAATCTAAATTCTTGTGCTTGAGTCAATGTCTCTTACGCGAAATAGTGCCGATTCGTGATCAATAACAACTTCAAACACAAGTGAGATGGTGAATTTAATTTGACAGATAAATCTCCAATCATAACGTTCTAAGTTTCGCGAATGTGTGATGTTAAATAGTGAAAGGAGGATAATCATGACTACGTAACTATCTTTTTATACACGTCACATAATATAACCGTATAATATGATTTTCTATTAAAAAAAGGAAATGGCATTCTCTCTGAATCCAAATCAAGTAAGGAAAGGGTGGAAACCCTTTCTATAAATATATAAATACTACCTCTCTGCCCTCACAATTCACATCGATTCATCATCTAATTTCGTCGATTCGGAAATCCATACTTCTGTCAAATGTATTGAATCCGGAAAACTATGAGACAAAGGTAATAATATGGGTATGGCTAAACTTAATGCAACTGAAGGCGGGTTTTCAACTACTATGGCTTTTGACAGAGATAAGCTGAAGAAGCTGCGGGGAGGAGGGCAAAGTTGCCAAAAAAGTTCCAAATTGTCCCAATGAGGCCACCAACAAGAAAGCTCCAAGAATTTGGAATGATTCGCCGCTTTCACAAAAAGAGTTGGATTTTTCTACTGATCATGATCCTGTGAATGAAAATGTTGCCGCTTTCGATATGGATCATGGCGGCGAGAGTATGATGGACGAGGAGGAAATTGAAGCAGAGGAAACAAAGAAGGATTCTAAGACTACTGAGACAAAGAAGAAGGGGTGGTTTTCAACCATGTTTAACTGTGTCGTTCGAAAGGCGAGTCTAGAAAAGGCTGATCTTGAACCTGCTTTGAAGGCTCTAAAAGATAAGTTCAATTCATAGCCAAGAATGTGGCTCAGGAAATAGTTGACAAAATTTGCGGCTCTGTCGCAGCCAGCCTCGAGGGTAAAACTCTGACCTCTTTTACTTGAATCTCCTTGATTGTGGAGGCCGCGATGGAAGAGGCGATTATTCGTATTTTAACTCCAAGACGGACGACTGACATTTTGAGGGATGTTTATGCTGCCAAGGATCAAGGAAAACTATACGTGATGGCTTTTGTTGGTGTCAATGGAGTTGGAAAATCTACTAACTTAGCTAAGGTGGCTTATTGACTGCTCCAACACAATGTGCGCATAATGATCACAGCTTGCGACACTTTTCGCGCATGAGGAGTCGAGCAGCTTTGCGTACATGCCCGTAAACTCCATATTCCTGTATTTAAGAAGGGGTACGAGAAATATCCTTCAGTCGTGGTGAAGGAAGAAATATGAGAGGCCACCCGAAATGGTTCGTATGTGGTACTTGTGGATACTGCGGGAGGGATGCAGGGGAATGAACCGCTGATGCGCGCGCTCTCAAAGCTGGTCTACGTCAATAACCTCGACCTGATACTGTTTGTTGGTGAAGCCTTAGTTGGTAATGATGAGGGATTAGCCCATGGAGCTTATATATTAATACTTAGAGTTTCTCAACATCGATGTAGGATTGGGACCCTTTAATACTCTCCAGCAACTCCAAAGTATTTTTTGGGTTGAACTTGTCATATTTACTCAGAGTTTCTCAACACCGATATGAGATTGGGACCCTTTAATACGCTCCAGCAAGTCCAAAGTATTTTTTGGGTTGAACTTGTCATTTTTTCACACCGATGTGGATTGGGACCCTTTAATACTCCCCAACAAGTCCAAAGTATTTTTTGGGTTGAACTTGTCATATTTTTTCATCCTAAGCACTGTCTCACGTCTCAGCCCTATTTTTTCTGTTGGATTTTTTGGAGTCTAAACGTCAACGGGCTGGCTTTGATACCATACACAAGCTTATGGAGTTCCACCTCAAAACCAATTGGCAATAAGAGGAATAGCCCATGGAGCTTATATATTGATACTCAGAGTCTCCCCACAATGATGTGGGATTGGGACTCTTTAATACCAGGGAGCTTTTGCCTTCGCGTAATAATCTCGGTTGATTGACGGAATTCTGCTCACCAAGTTTGATACCATTGATGAAAAGGTTGGAGCTGCACTTTCTATGACATATGAATGTGGAGCACCCATTATGTTTGTTGGATGCGGGCAATCCTACACAGATTTGAAGAAGCTGAATGCCAAGTCCATAGTGAAGACTTTACTCAAATGATGATGAAGAAAGGGTGCTTAATTTGTGTTCTTTTTCTCCTCCCAACTTCTTTGATGTAGTGATTTAAATCTCACCATCTATGGCTATGCTATGCAAAACTATCTTCATTTATTATGTCTCAATTTCGCATTCAAATGTTTCTCTCCCGGACGCCGAAAAAAAAAATAAATAAAGACTAACAGGGAATCTAACATTTATCCTCTGCCTCAATTTACGTTTATGTGCTCTTCATTTTTTTTTTGGGTATTGATTTTTGGGTATTGAATATGAAAGAGAAGCATAGATAGATTGGTTACACAAGACTCTTGAGAGCATCTAGAATGAAAATGTAGTGGGGCCAAAAATACATTGTGAGAAATATGCACCGTTTATTTTGTTCGTACATACTATGATTTTTATAGTTTCATATCATGTATAGTTATGCTCATATCAAATTTTACTAATTATAATATCTTACCGCATTATAGTAATCAAGTTATTCATGAAATTTTTTTATTCAATTATGTAAATAATTTTTCACTATTTTCGAATATAGATAGAAAAAGATTCTTTCTAAAATGGCATATTAAAAAAAAATTACAACTCTGTCTTGGGAAGATATAAGTGCACAGTTATACTAGTTCAATAAATTGGATTTAGCATCTAGTTTGATTATAATTAGAAACTAGATGCTTGGCCGACTCGAATGTACTTTATTATAATAGTATTAATAATAAAAATAATTACTATTATAATAATAAGGTAAGGTAAATTTGTGATGAAACAATTTGTTAAAAAAATATTGTAATATATATGGGTCTGAAATGATTTAATATTAGTAATAGAAAATTGTGTTTGAAAAAATATTACATAGATGATACGACTGCAATTTCTAATTTGTATTGTATTTATGAGGGTAAAAAATAAATATATCAAACTCGGAGTGCTATTTATGTGGGTAAAAAATAAATATATCAAACTCGGAGTGCAATAAGGATAAATAATTGATTTATTTGGGTAAAAAATAAAAACATCAAACTCGGATGGCAAGAAGTATAAATAATTGTTCTGTAAAAATAATAAACAAATAAACAGCCAAAAGTATATATATATATATATATTTTTGTCTTAGTTTGTATCGAGCAGATCTGGAAATTTTTCTTCTACTTTAGAAAGTTCATCACAATTCATTCTCATTTTAGAAGCTGTAGAAAGCAAAATCCTTCATCTGATAGTCGGCGTCAATTTTTGCCAAACACCGAACCAACTCTCATTTGGTTTCTATTTTTACAATCAATCCAATCAGTTTCGAATAATGACTTCATATTCATTCGGTTAACATTGGGGATCAGAACGATTGGATTATTCCGCATCATCTCAATCGATTGAAGGTCAATAGGGTGTTCACAGATCCCTCCATCTTTCACTTTTGATGGATATCTGTCTGTTGCCGTGTATCTAATCGGATTCAGTATCAATGGTTTCGCGAGGTAAAGAATTATTCATTCACAGTTTCTGAGCATTCATTATAGATTCTAGGTCACCATTCCTGTGTCAACAAATTGAGTCTCTAAGTTTAACCTTTTTTCCTGTGTCTATTCTGAATGTTTCAGGGAAAGGAAACTATCCATGGCAACTGGAACTATGGCCACTACAGCTGGTGCAGTTGGTCATAAGTACTATGCATTGAATAAACAACTACAGACGGAATGGTTAATAGTACAGGTACATTACAAATTCCTCTAACCTACCTTATGCATCTATGGTGTTGTACATTATTAATGGTAATGTATTGATTTATTATATGTTATTGTTTATGTAAATAACTTGATAGAGTCATCCATATTAGTAGCTTGACTGTGAAATATGGAACTGCATTTGAAAAATGTATCTATGGATGAATAGTTTAAAACAGTGATAATTGAAATCATATTCACTGGATTATATAGAATTATATTTGTTAAATCTTTTCAATGTATTGATAATGAAAGAACATTAAAATAAAACCCCACAAAAAAAAAAAAAACAAAATTATTAGGAGTATAGTATGTTCTACAGTACAATAAAATTGAAGAAAATAAACTGAAATTATTAATCGAGCAGAATAATTGGATTTAGCATCTAGTTTGATTATAATTAGAAATTCATTCAGTTTTTCAATTGATTTTAAAATAATTTATTAATTAATTAAAACAAACTAATTCAAATTTGATTTGAACTATTTTAAGTGGCCCAAACCAAACTTGTTAGAAAAAGAAAATAATTTAGCGCTAATTATACACAAAATTAGTAAATTAATTAAGTAATAAAAATCTAATTACTATTAAATTAAAATAAACATATATTATTGATTTAGGATGGGGCCAGCAGGGGCCGTGGCCCGTGACCCCACCCTAAATCCGCCCCTGCTTAAGAGGCTACCGGGCTGAAATCAGTCTGCCTGTAGATTTCTTCAAAGTTCATGTTCCTCCGCAATGGATGCTACCGGCTAACTTCAATTTTTCTAAAGTTTTGGAACTTTTAAGAATTTACTATTATTAGTTGCATAGGTAATTTACATAATAAGGAACAAAGGGTTTACATAAGATCTCTAAAGTTGGAATTTGGAAACATATAATTTGCTACCCATAAGACTAAGGTGAATTATCTTTGAACAAGGTGTTCCAAAATAGAATGGGATCTCTCGCAAGTCGGTGGTAAAACGTAAATATTAAAAGGATCGATCATGGCTCATCTTTCTTTAGAAAAAAAGTCTCCCGTCCTAATTAAACCTCTTTGAGAGAGTTTAAAATCCCTGGAAAAATCTAATTTGATGATGGATTACATGAGCGAGAACTTGGTTTTTCTTGGAAACATGATCGTTGATGAAATTATGGAACCAGTGGATGATGACTTACGCAAGTTTGCAGAAACCATGGAGTCTACCTTAGAGGAGGCAGAGGAGAATCACTCTAATCCAGCAACAAATCAGCCCTTCTGTCCATTCCAATATCATCATGATTAGGTAATTGATGTTGACGCCATTGACATTGAAGATGATGATGATGATAATCAAGAAGAAGAAGCACAAGTAAATGCGGAGATTCTGGTAGCAATGATGACACTCCCCCTCGGTTACCGGGCTTATATTTCTCGATCACTTCAATCACGTTTTCCGAATGCTACAGACGAGAGGTTAGAGATTTTAGTACAAAGTATATTGTCGGAAATTGCTGCTTGTAGAGAGGGTTCTGATGATTGGGATGAATCTATAGAGGAATTGATAGAAGTGCTCATCCATAACAGAGAAATAGAATCATCTGAATTGACAGAGGAAATTATTCTCCAGAACTTAAAGTTGAGAAGAAGCCAAGCAGAAGATCTTAAAGTAATGTGCGTGATCTGCCAGTGTGAATATCAACGGAAAGAGTTCGTCGGAAAACTGGGATGCGGACATGAGTATCACGCTGATTGTATAAAGAGATGGTTGTTTGAGAATAATTCTTGTCCTGTTTGTAAATGTAAAGCAATTGATTTGATCTAAGTTTGATTCATGAAACATGCGACATTCCGAATACTACTACTACTGTAGTGTGAAAATTAGTTCTAATGTTTTTGGTTTACGTTTGAGATGCACCCATGTAGTCTAATATCTTCTTGTTTGCTTACTTGATTCAAAGTCTCGATTCTGATTATGTTTTCTCTGTTATTATTGAACTGCATTATCAAGCACAAGTTTGGCTTTTAGATTCAGATGATGATAAATGACTTGTATGTGAAGATTTATTTCCCGACAATACCTACAATTCAACTTGAATTTCCATTGCCTCTCTAATTCTTCAGCTCAACAAGATTAGGAAAAGCCCTTTATATTTTTCCTCAATTTTTTGTAATCTGTTTTGTTTATCTTCAAACAAGAGCATCATAGTCTATCACAAATTAAGGGAACGAAACATATTTTGGAGTGGAGTATCGCTAGTTGCTTTTCCGCTCACTTAATCTGTCCTAAAGAGGCAAATTACTGCACAAACATACATGATGGTTGAGACATTGAATGGACAAACACCCATGACACTCACCCATCTCCGGGGAATTGATCGGACTGCCGCTTGTCAAATATCGCGGGTAGGTTTAATATCTCACTTGAAGAAAGAACCATCATGGTTCGATGATGTCAATGGAGGAGAATCATCCATCGACTACAGGTTTTATCTTTTTAAGTTGTGATGGTTTTTTGGTGGATCCGAATACCATTTTAAATGGATTGTAGCCAGAATATAGGAGAAAAGGTTGCAAATTGCCAACTATGAAGAGTAAATGAGCAGCTATCGAGGAATTTTTGCAATTTGCCAAGGCGAGTTTGAGAATGAAGAAATGGTGACTGACACTAAAAGGTCAAATCCAACATTATGGAAACACTTGATGTAAAGGTAGCAGTAACTGACAAATATATATGGTTCACTTGAACAAAGTTACTGATATAAAAGGCAGAGCAAAATTCCAATTTTTCCGGAAGGAAAAAAACACATAAAATCAGGGTTTTAAATAATATATGATAGAATAGATACATTGTGGGAAAGCAATAAGTGAAAACCAGGCCAACTAAAAGAAGAATTCGTCAAGATCCTAGCTCATGGATATATTGCCCTAAACACTGGACAGTTGACTCTTACATAATATGCTAATGGAAAGGCTTAGTAGAAAATTCATGCCAATTAAATAAAATTTTTTTATCACAAAAGACCAATTGATCCATGTGGTTCAACAACTGTAAGGGACAAATTCCACAGCCCAGAGGGTAAAAGACACCCTTTTCCTTCACGCCATTTATCTGTTACCTAAGCAGAGCAGCATCCAACCTTTTTTACAGCTGAAACATCGTCCTTCGAGCCCACATTGATCGTCTGTCCTTTGGGTAGTGCAGCTGGATCCTCACCAACGTCAAGAGCTTTCCTGCTAACAACACGGTATATCTGACTGAGAACTTCTGTGAAGGCATTTTCAACGTTCATGGATTCCAAAGCTGAGGTTTCCATGAAAAATGTGCTCTCTCGTTCAGCAAAGGCCTTTGCATCTTCGGTGGAAACAGCCCTCAGGTGACGCAGATCTGCCTTATTACCAACAAGCATAATCACAATGTTTGAATCTGTGTGATCTCGGAGTTCCTTTAACCATCTCTCAACATTTTCAAATGTAACATGACGTGTAACATCATATACTAACAAGGCACCAACAGCTCCACGATAATAAGCACTGGTGATTGCTCGGTACCTATTATATAAAGAGCAGAAATAAGGACTAAGAGGTTCAGAGCAAACCAAAAAACAGAAAACTATAAACAAGTTCAGCATGTAAAGAAACGAAAAAGGCAGGTCCTACAAAAAATCCAACCACAACTTAGCTCTGGCAGAAGACAACAAAAAGAATGAATAGGTTTTAGCTTACCGAGAAATTACTTCCATAACAACAAAAGGCAAACAGGGACACAATGACTTTATCTCAGCAACATGAGGGGATTTGATGCCTACTAAAAAAAGATGTGGTTCATACAAATTCAATCGCATTCTCTAGGTACCTTGTAGATCTCTATAGCTATATTAGTAAAAGGAATGATTTCAAGAGAAACAGGAAGCACCATCAGTACAAACATTATTTGAAATGAGAATTACATGATGAAACTCAGAGTGATAAACCCACTCTGGATAATTTGAAGGAAACGCCACATAACACACTTAAAAGTACAATAATTTCAACACACTCCGCAGATGTAAAGTAATGCTCAACCAGAAGGTCATTTCTTAAAATAAATTTTTAAAAAAATAGTCAACGGCTTAAATACAGGCCTGGGGGGCAGAAGATACAGGTTTTGAAACCATCAATTAATCCAATTTCCAGAAACTGTGTTTTCAAGCAAATATCAATTCAAACAACAATCTGTACTAGTTTAGAGCCTGGATTCAAACAAAGGTGTCCCAACAAACCCCTAATCAAGACTACTATCTCTACTCTCTTATTTGGCAATCACATCTGAACTACAAAAAAGTTGCATGACAACCATCTGAACAGTCAGTCACCTAAATTCAATCAGACTTGATAAGTTCCAGGGACAGTATTGATTCCTGTATCAGTCTCACAACATCTATTAACTATCATATTTCCAGTCAATTCACCATTTCTCTAAGTATATATGCAAAGATTCTTGAAGAACAATGGATTCAAAGTCTCTCAAACATGCGATTCAAATTTCAAAACCACGCCTGGACTTCACCCAACTACCACCACAAAGAATTACAAGAAATATATACTACTAATCTTGAACGAAATACAATTTTCTCATGGATCAGTAAACCCATACAAAACCCACTCAAAAACACAATAGTCCATCAGATCTGAACAGAACCAACTACTAGTGTCAGACAATTCCAACACAAATCAAACATACGCTCGAATTGCAGATTCGTCGCTTCAGATCTCATTCAGTCGAACAAAGTACACAAAAATGACAATAACCCAGCAAACCACAATGTACTAGCATAAACCCCATCAAATTCTGCGCATTAACACGAAATCCAACATAGCTAACAGCATTCCATCTCGTAAAACCGAAAAAGAAAATCATAAAACAGGGGAAAAGGGCTACCTCTCTTGGCCAGCAGTGTCCCAAATCTGAGCCTTGACGACTTTATCATCAACACGGATGCTCCTAGTAGCGAACTCAACGCCGATTGTGGATTTGGATTCCAAACTGAACTCATTTCGAGTGAATCTCGACAAGAGGTTGGATTTGCCGACGCCAGAATCGCCGATTAGAACGACCTTGAACAAGTAATCGTAATCGTCATCTGCCCGATAAGCCCCCATTGCAAACAATCCTCAATTCCTAGTAGTGATTCAAATATGAAAAACTTTTTCTCAGAAGAGAGAGAGTAAAGGAAATGAGGAATTTGAAGGAAGGAGGGAGGGAGATCGGTGTATTTCAAAGGGCTTTTGTAATTGCGAAGTTAGCCCTAGTAGCGGTGGCTTTGGCCTCGTCCACTGTGTGAGTGCGTGTTAAAAATCAATTTCATTTTATTTTATCGGGATTATTTTAATACTATTTGAAAATTGTGTATTCGGAAATGTAGTCGACATATATAATCAAGCGTCCTGATTTATGAGAATCCTTAATTCAAACGTTTTCCATCGTAATGGAATTTGTGGACTTTCAAAGTGCCAATTTAGAATGATCATGGGGTATTTTCATATAATAACTTTAATCATTTCATATCTGCTTGGAACATTCGTTGATTATATTTTTTTTTTTCACCTTTCATATTACGTATCATCAAATGTAAGTGAGATCTATTACTCATACATTTAAATATTCATAACTATTTGGCAGAGATCATTTTATTCTGTATGGTATTACGATCTTTCAAATTATAACTAAAAAATGCATCCTCACATCTCAAAAATTAGAAGAAGGTAACGTTCGGATATCACCAATAATAGTATTCGTTACATTATACTCTTTTTCGTGCTAAGGAAAAGAACATCGTAATCAATTTTACAAAAAAAATTACGAACAATGGCTGGTTTTTGGAGTTTGAGAGAAAAGTAAGAATCATGATGGTATTTCCGTGTTGGTTCAGTGTTAATGGGTGTTTAAGTTGGGACTTTGTCCACTTGAAAACTAGATTAATAAAAGGGGAAAGAGATGGACAATTAAAAAGATTTTTCCATTTGAAAAAAATAAAAGGTAGAAAGTAAATGAGAACTCATGGAAGAGTTCAAAAGGGTTGTTCTCATCATCATTCACACTTGTAGACTTGTATTCCCAATTTTATTATGCTAATAAGTAATAGCACCTACATGTAGTTTTTTTTCCTTCCTAGCGAGGCAAAAGTGACCCAAAAAAGAATATTTTAAAGAGGAAAAAAAGTTACCAAAAAAGAAAGATAAAGTAAAAATTACGGAGAGAGTATAGACACTCATCCCACTCATTTTTTCAATTATAGGACTTGAAAAAGGAAATGATACATTCGGTAAAACTATCAAGTAAAATGAAATAAAAATGATATATATATATATATATATATTGTATCGCTCAAACTATAAATACGAACTTTATACATACAGTTACTCAAAAATACTACTTTCACATCTCATCACTAGTGTTTATATCTTTGATACAAATTTTGATCATGTTCAACTAAAATTAGTACCTAAATGAAGAAAACAAAATTGATGATTTAAAAAAAAAACCATAAAATTATCCAAGCATTGCTTTGCTAATGGTAAATTGTAATACCAAAACACTCTCTCTTATTCTTTTTCTTTTTTTTTCCTCCTGAAAGAATACAACTTTTTTTTGTCAAAGAAAATAACTCTTTTCGAATTTTCTCTGAAGAATATATGAGCAATTTTAAGGCATAGAACATCACATGAGAGCAATGATGATTGATGATAAAATTTACTTCAAACTTTATTTCCACGTGAAGCCCAAAAGCATGAGTAAATTCTCCTGCATCTGGACACTCTTCTTTTCGATATTTCCTCGTGAAGTAACAAATATATTTGAGTTAGGTAACAAGAACAATAATGAAAGGAAAACATAAAGATGTAGCCTATGGAATGGAATGATAACTTCAATTCCAGAATTCCCCTCCATTATTAGAACTTGTACACAGGATTGTAAATAAATCAAGTGAAACTATGGTGGTGATTATTATTAGTACATCAGTCAACAGGTTTTATCAATGCCAATTTTGATCTATTTTGTGCTATTTTTTTCCCAACTGTCTTATACTCCATCCTAGACTCCTTGCGCCAGATGCACAAACACCTGGGCCTGACAAGATAATACATACAACTAAAACACAACAATGTGGTGTGCAGAAGATAGCGCCTTATATACTTTATATATCCTAAAGAATCAAAATTTTGGATCTCAGTGGCTGTAAATACGCAGTCACCGATGACTCTCTCCTCCTGAAAACGTTTCTCTTTTCATAACAGCCAAAGCAAGGTTCTTTGATATTAGTGCCCGGTAGAAAGAGTTGGGGGATTCTACTGATCCTTGGTTCTGCTTCTCATTGCTTTACGTTTGGTTACATCAAGGTATCTTTTTCTCAATCTGATTGCCTTTGGTGTAACCTACAGAATTGCATCAGGATGCAGTCAGGAACAAGGGGGGAAGCTTTGCAAAAAAGATGCATCGAGAAAACAAATATGAAGACGAAGGTACACAGGCATGGATGTTTCAGAAATACAAACTCCATTATATTTCAAAAGCTTTCAAAGCCAAAAGGTAAACCCAAAAAAAAAAAAAAAGAACCCAAACGAAAAAGAAGCAAAACTTTATTCATACATCTAAACATTCTTTCACAACAACTTGAATCAGTCAGTGATCGAGCGGAACAGAACGGTCAAAAATTGCAAAAAGGGAGCTCCCTCAAAAGTTTTCTACCACTTTCATCATTGAACCTATATATTAAATGACATACCTCAATCAGTTCATCAGCAGCAACGTATCCAATTGCTTCTTCAAGAGTCATCTGCACCCGGTAAAATTCAGCAATAATTAGAATGGAGAGGTACAACTTCCTTTTAGGACATTAAACCAGATTATATTTAATAAATTTCTGACTAGGGGAGTTCATCAACAAACAAGAAAAGAAAACAAAGCAACCTGCTTTCAAATTATGTAAGAATAGATAATTTTTGTGAGCTATTTATTCGCATGGTAATATCTATGGACCCAGAAGCTATGACGCTTCAAGTAGCAAATCAACTTCAAGCCTCTTATCAAAACACCCGCAAACATTAAGATTAGCCAGGGACAATCCCTTTTAAGCAGTTTATCCACACACAATATCTTCAGTATATAGGATTCATGGAAGAGTGTGTCTGATTTGAAATGGAAGATAAAAGGAAGGAACACATACAAGACGAGGTGGAGTGAGCTTGACATTATCATCTTTTGTAGCAGCCCGTATATTTGTTAACTCCTTCATCCTTACTGGATTCACCTGTAATCAGCAACCACAAGGGATCATGATATCAAAGAAAGGATTAAGGGGACGAAATTGCAATCTAACGATAAAATCTACTTACATCAAGATCTGTTTCTCGTGAATGTTCACCAACAATCATGCCATCATATGTCTGCAAATTATGAACAAATAAAAGATTATCCACCAAATTAAAGAATTTTAATTACTAAAATGCTAAACAAACACATTGTAGAAATATCCTAAATCTATTATCCAATTTACTAAGTCCAACAGATTTAAATGAATCAAATGCTGTCATATGTCACAGTAAAGGTAGCTTAAGCAGACTCCAAACATTTGTTCATCAGAGACAGACCAGTAGAATAAATCTCTGATTGAACACTCAATGTAAAGCCTGTAACTTTGACACTCAAGTTCCCACATTAGAAAGAACTGTTTCTTTTGGGAAAAAAAATAAATAACTGAATCAGTAACGAGATAAACAATACTCCCTCCATCCCATAAAAATAGCCCACGTTGTAAATAAAAATTGTATTGTTTTTGTGAGACAGGGAGTAAGAAACAGCAGTTATACTTCTGAAAAAATATTAGAAAAAAAAAAAAAAGAAAAAGAGATAAAGTTGAATCTTAAAAAGATACGATTATGTTGGCAAGACAACCTCCATTCCAGGAGTGACGAAGAGTATTCCGCGTGGTTCTAAACTCATCAGTGCATAAGCTGTAATTGCCCCACGACCCATCGAAATCTGTAGAAGAAGTGCATGACTATGTTAGCACGTTCAAATGTTAATGCACACACAAGAATGTCCACTCCACAAAATGTAACCGTGCCAAAATAGGAATTAGAGCAATACCAATACTCCCTTTCTCACGTTTCCAAGAGGACCTCGATACTTTTCATAAGCTGCAGAAAGACAGAAATTCAATACTTAGAAGTAATTCATCCATAAAAGCAGAATAAAAAACCGACTTTGATCAAGACAAAATAACTAAGATGAAGCTACTACATTTGACTTCAAGAACTAGATTTATAATTATCTGAGCGGTGTGTAGTTAAAAACTAACTTGATAAGAATTAGCACTTAGGTATCTATCTATTTTTGCTTGAGCAAAACTAAATCATACACAAATCAGAACTAAAAATCCCAAGACAGCAGAGATGTTGTGCTATGATATGTCGATCATGCAATTGTCCTTTTGACCATTTACACAATTCTTCTGCATCAATTCAACTACTAAAAGTCTTACAACCATAACATAACTCAACAAATGCATATGACGGTTTGAGTATTAAGCTCTGCCGCGAGGTTGAGGGTACAATTCCTATTGTGTTGTTTGTCTTGTTTCTTTCTCTCTGTGTGTGTGTGTGTGGGGGCGCGGGTGGCGGGCGGGGGTGGGGTAGGAGGAAGTATCACGGGACCATGGCCAGATACTGGCTGCATGCCATGAACATGATTTGAATATATGCACAGTGAAGAGACCAGGAATCCAAAATGAATAGGCAACAATCAATATTTAGCGTTCAAGAACTCCAGTCTTCTATTCCATATAAAGAAGAAAACTTGTATCTAACTACAATCAAGATAATTGAATCGATCGACGTCAATATCACTGCCTCAAACAAGACTTCAAGTAACGGAGATTGATAATTCCCACCTAAATAATTGAAAATTGCTTGATTATCTAAACTCAGAGACAATAGTGCAACATAAATCGCATGAACAGTACAAAAAAGCATACCCATGAAAGCCCGGTGCATAAATCCAGTTCCTCGTGTGTCGCTGCTGAACACACTTCTGTATCCGACCAATCCCCTGCCATTATTAGAACAAGTACCTATGTGAAAAGTGATAATGTTTGCAGCAAAGGAACAAAACTGATGCCCTTTCTCCTGAGCAAGAATAACGAATAAGAACATCAACCAGCATATTTTCCAGGTATAAATGCCAGCAAGCACACTTGTTTACTAAAAACTGTACTCCCTATGTCCCAAAATGATTGTCTAGTTTGGATTTTTCATTTTTATTACAAACTGGACAATCAGTTCAGGACAGCGGGAGTAATATAATTATCTCCATAAAAACTACTGGAGAAGGGTTCAATAGATTGCCGCAGAGAGGTTTAACGCTAAATTCCATGTTGTTCACTGACTTGCCCACAATTCCGGGAAAAGGGCAATGTACCCTTTGCAAAGAGGCAGTATTTATATCCCAACACATGTTATCCCAAATGGTATCAGTTAGTCAACGACAGTCTTGAACTATTCCTCTAATTTGAAAACAGACAAGCAAGCACTGGCTGTCGCCCCTAATAACAAATCTCTGCAGCTGATTTCCAAATATAAAATAGAGGCAGAGAGAGCACGACCAGAGACAATGTAGGAAACAAGCAGAACCTTGAAGGGCAAGTCAGACAGATTTTGGTTCGATCACTGTGACCAGGAACTGGACCCATCTCGACAACTTCAGCCCGTCTATGAGAAAGGGCATCCAGAATTAGGCCCACATGCTCTTCATTAACCTAGAATTATCAAGATTATACCTCAGTACAAGAGCAAATTACTGAAGAAGAAGAGATTTGTTAGAAACATTCAGTTCATCTCACCTCAATGGTAACTTCTTCAATTGGTTCGAGCTTTTCACCATTCTCAGTTTTGTACCTGGCACAACAACAAGAAGTGCAATGACAAAAGAAACATCCTTAAATTTCTCCCTCAACTCAACGAATTGACTTCTTGAACTGAAGACAAATTCACACTGAGAAGACAAGAGAGAAAAAAAATTTACTTATTCACTGACAAATTCTTAAGAGTCTTGAGCATGATGATAGCAGTATTGATATATGTAGTCTCTCAAATAAAACCACTAGTGAGTGCATGTATGAATGGGAAAAGCATGCAGGTGGAGTAACTGAAAGCTTACATGACTTTAGGAGGAGAGACAGATAACTCAAAACCTTCACGCCTCATGTTCTCTATCAAGATACCTGTATCAATAAGGTTGAAACATCAAAGTTTAGGCTACCACCATAATCAAAATAAGTAAATAGAAGGAAGTCAATACGGTTACATTGAAACAGCCCCGGGAGATCCAGAGTGAAAAAAGGTAAAGAAGAAAATCTCACCCAATTGAAGTTCTCCCCTCCCCTGAACTTCAAATGAATCCGACATGCCAGGTATTACATTTATGGCGAGATTAGTTTCTGCTTCAGCCAATAAGCGGTCCCCAATTTTTCCTCCAGTCAGCTGAAATATAAGAAGAAACATCCGTATAAATTAGTCAAATAAAGAAAGTGGATCGGGAAGAACCTAGTATAAAAATAAAATAATTAGTCATCAGGTGTAGATGTAATTCATCAAATAACAATTGATATCCAATTGGGTATGGTTCATATGACTGTTCCTCCAGACATCAAACTAACAACATCCACTAATTTAGTCAAAATTCATGTTCCTTCTCAGATACATTTAGAGGTGGCAAAAATCTTTATAGCTTCCCAAATTAAACCAGATTAAATCTACAAATCACCGAGTTCCAGAGTTCTAGCGATGAGTGAACCTTAAGCAATGTAATGCAACTAAATCAGTAGAACCATCTGAGTACAAGAATATTTGAAAGTGAAACAACGACATCCTACTCACATGTGTACCATCACGTCCAGCCAAAGGAGAGTCATTAACACCGAATGTCATCGAAATGGTTGGAGGATCAAGATCAACAGTAGGCAAAGGAGTTGTAACCTGCCAAAGAAATGAGAATTGCCTATTACACGTCAAATTAATGAAGGAATCACAGACTCTTATTGGATGCAAAGAATAATGATGCGAATATCTCAAAAAAAAATATAGAAAAGCTTTAAAAGTGGATTCCTTGATCCACTGACGAAGAAGATCCATCAAATTACACAAGTAACAGACAGTGACTTGAAAAGGTGCACACAACACATTAACACAAAAGTTCTAGTTCTCGCAAAAACAAAGTTGAGAAAAAAAAAAAAAGATTATTTTTATATTAAATAAGAAGAGGAAGAGCTTCTAGGGGTTCATAGCTACTCTGTTGAAATAAGAAAGTTTGAAAGCCATGTCTATAAAAACAATTTTAGAAAAACCAAAACACATATAGCACAATCTTATCCTGGTAAAGAGAATTAGGTACACGCGGGAATATAATATGAATAAAGCTGAATTTGCAATAGCACACAAAAAATTGACTTCCAGGTAGAAATTGCCAAGGCAACTGGTGTGTAGACGAACCTCCACAGTCGCAACGGTGTGACCAATGGCTGGCTTTGTCAACCCAGCCATTGACACTATGTCACCAGCGCAGGCACTATCAACCAATACCATACTAGTACCCTTCTTTTTCATCAGTTTCACAACCTGCATAAATAATAATTTGATAACTGAGTCAAAATCTACTATTAGAGATATGATAAAAATAAAATTAGTAGCCTCAATATACTCGAGAGATAAGAATCAGGGATGCTCCCGAGTCCATAAATCTAGTTTTCCCTTTTTTTAAGAGGCTAAGGTTACTAGTGTGCAACTCACATGGCCCTAATGGAAACAAAAGACGTTACTACAGTGTACAACAACCAAAGTAAGAAGCCCAAACCATGATTTCGACATGCTTTGGATGATAGGAAGGCAACTTAAATCGAACAACAGCAAAAAGTGTTTTGTTGTTTCTTTAGACATGAGAAACGCATTTGTCATTTCCAGCACTATTATTATTAGTGGTCAAGGGTTTCAAGTAATATGGCTGATTCGAGGAATTCCCTGAGTTCTAGGTTCTCTATTTTGAGCTCTTGTTTCCAAAAGTTTATATAGGCAAAGGCCACCTTTCACGGCTGAGTCTAGATAGAAAGTTATTCTTTCGAAAGTGAAGCATGAATTGCAATCTAAATTTGTTGGACTTTTGTAACTTATGAAAAATGTACATCTCTAATAAAATATTTAAGCCTTAAGTTCAATAGTAAAATAATTCTGCAACAGTTTTGTCTTCTTCAAGGATTGGATGCATCATTACCTTGGTGTGATGCCCATAGCCCTACAGGGCCTAAGGATTTTAAGAGGTGAATCCTAGCAAAAATTTCAGCTATATGAAGTATTACTACGTTTTCATATCTCCATTCTTGAACTCAAGTTCCTGTCTAGCCTAAGAGCTCTATAAGAGTTTCCAATATCTATTCTAGTTATACAAACACTTGTTCCACATCAGGCCTCTACCATCGGAAAATCAAGATGCAGCATATCCTAGATTATATAACAAACTAGAGTATTTTGCGATTTAAAGTGAATTAAGACAGTTTTATATGATAAATAACTCAAAATGGGAAAAGAAGAAGATTGAATTCAAGCAGGAAAATTTCCCCCCAAAATTTCATCAGGTCTGGACAGAAAGATTATCTACAGAAATCCAGGAATACAACGTAACAAACCTTCCCTTCTTCAATCTTCAAAGTTCCAGAATCAGATTCTCGAAGTCCGTGAACTTTGTCGCCCACACGCAGTATTCCAGAAAAGATGCGCCCAGTGAGAATCCTCCCAAGATAAGAATCCCGTTCCATCATGGAAACCTGAGAGCAACTGTTAAGCATCTCTTTCAACATGTCCAACCAAAGAGCAATATTATCAAAAGAAGAAAACCAAAACTCGGGAAACAAAAATAATGGAACAAAGGAAGAGAATAAAGAGCAATGCTATTCAGAATTCAGGAGAGAGAGAGAGAGAGAACCGAAACTTGGGAAACAAAAATAATGGAACAAAGGAAGAGAATAAAGAGCAATGCTATTCAGAATTCAGGAGAGAGAGAGAGAGAGAGAGAGAGAGAGAGAAACATGAGGTCAAGAGCTGATTCAGGTAATAACATCAGGTCTTCTAAAGGATCACAAAGAAACAAATACATGATCATATAAGTAGCATGGCACTTTATAAACACAAAAGGACCATTGTTGGCACTTTATAAACACAGGAAAGTGGATCAAGGAATAAAGCATGGTAACTGCAATCCTGAATACATGTGAAGACGATTCATCAAAAGCCAGCAAAGACTTTAAGACAATTAATCAAATTCTGGGTTGCAATGCTTACCCTAATATACCATTACAAGCATTTCTGTTCCACTAGAGCAACAGCAGTTCTTTCATGCAAATTTTTTCATTGACCAAATAACTATAATACCTCATCACACAGTGTTTCACACTTTTACCCTAGAAAGACGTCAAATTGGAATAAAAACGCATGAACCTGATACTCAAAAGCAACATCTTGCAGTACCTCCTAACACTTAACCTTGGAGTAACAAGGAGATTTCATTCTTTTGTAATGCAATTAACTTTTACAATTTAATTCACCAATCAGGTTCAACAAGCAAACAGCTAATCGTAAAACACTACTAGCACAATTAGTAGCAATAGCATTGTATTTCAACACAATTTCTATAAGTTTCCATCATGCTATTGTAATGAACAAGATCAAGAGAAGTAACCAGGCTTTCAACTAATAAACATTGTTTTCGAAGAATGAGGAATATACAGAAAGTGCATGTAGTAATCTAATAGGAAATGGTCAATTGCAAGGCGGGGTCTTGATATATATTTCATATCCAAAAAGGGATCAAATACAAACCAGCATTTGGAAAGGCGCATCAATGCTAGCAGATGGTGGAGGAACATGACTTATTATTGCATCAAGCAACTGAGACATATTCTTGGCATCATCTGTAGGACACTTTGTGAAGGTGGATGATGCCCAACCTTCTTTGGCAGAAGCATAAAGCACAGGAAAATCAAGTTGCTCCTCTGAAATCGACCAGAAAGTGAAAGAATTAGAAATTGAACCTACTACAGCAAGAAGATTCAATAAAAAGCAATTTGAGTACACTGATAAATCTCAGGACCGAAGTACCCAAGCACCTGAAGCACCAAGATTTGCAAAGAGGTCAAAAACAAGGCTCTCAACTTCATCACACCTTTCCTCTGTAACTGCAATCACACAAGAAAAGGGCTATCAACAGAAGCAATGAGTATCTCTATCATTTTCTTTTTCTTTTCTTTTTTTTTGAGTAAATCAAAATAAACAAATATACAATATATAAGCCCAAGTGCTAATCATTTCATCCTAAAAAGACCCAGGATATGGGGACTATAATGTAAGCCAGTTAATCGGGAAAAGGATAATTAAAAGGGTGATGAATAAGTTAAAAACAAAATTAAACAAGGAGGAAAGCGTGTGGCATCAAAATTTCAAAATAATGTAGAGACAGAAAATATCAAGCGGTGGCAATAAATTCCCGAACATTTGAACGGCATGAGACAAAACTGTGCAACCCACTTTTCAGTTTCTCAAAAAGAAGTCATGGTACCTCCAATATAGCAAAAATGCTTCCTAACATGTTAAGAGAAGCTTTGGATCTATGTCGGAAAACAAGTCAGGGTAACGCTCAAACGAATAACCAACAAGTGGAAATATCAAATAAGGGTCATCCTGAGATGACCTAGAAAACTTTTTATTGTTCAGACTTTTATCAAAGGAATATTTAATGTGAAATTCAAAACCATAACCATCCATGAACCATTTATATGATTTGTGCTATTATTATGGTTTCTTTTCACATGATTTATAATTATTTGCGAGCCAATAGGATGTTAACATGGTGATTACATTTTCGAGAACTGTTGAATTAATAATGTTGAATTTTAACTTTCAGATAAAAATTCAACATTCAGATTAAAATTAATCCATAGAACAAGAGTACATATATGGGTCATTTAGGGAAGTATTTAATCGGTTGACTATCCGAAATATACAGGTCAAATCATGCCAGGTAAGGCTGACTCGATCATTAGCAAATCATGTTCCTAGCAAGGGACTGAAAACAAAATAATTCAACAGGTAGAGTTGGAGTTCTGAGGTCATTCGTGTATATCGTGTTCAAACACCCACAAATCTGACCCCACCTTGAACCATTTCTAAGCAATTCTATCTAAAGTAAATGAGGAAAATAAAAATCATAAAAATGTGATAACAGCACTACATAAATTTAAACCTTTTTGCAAATTTTCAGTACGCAACAAGGAGAAGAAAAAGAAAACAAAAAAATCAACATCAAAGTAAAACCAAGCATATAGGGATGGACCACCAAACTAACCAAAAAACTATTGAACACTGCGTTATCCTTCATTCAGGCACATTCAACTTTTTTTCAGGAGATAAACAAGTAAAACAAATTCCATAAAGAACATGAATTTCCTGAGAAACAAGAACATCTTCTGACGATATACCTGATGGTCGGTCTACTTTGTTAAGAAGGAGAATGGGCCGCAGTCCATACTTCAATGCCTTCGCAAGTACAAACTTTGTTTGTGCCAGTGGCCCCTCACCAGCATCGACCACTAAAATCGCACCTTCAACCATGCCAACTACTCGCTCAACCTAACAATTAAGAGAGGCCAAAGAGAAATGTAAGTTGCTGGAAAAAGAATATGCATTCATATCATATTTCCTGGTTTAAAGTTTTGTCTGTCTAACACATTTTCATGGTATCAATAGGAAATAATGAAGAATGCCATCATTTCACCGTAAAATATGAGCTGTATGGCAAAAAATGTAGAATCCATTACACACAAAACAGTGACTAAAGAATATTTATGTAAGGGCGAGCATGATCATATTTAAAGGCTGTAAACAATACTCTTAAATCATATACAACATTGCAGATGTGGCAATGGGGGTAGGATTATATTCATTGATCTGACTATAGTGTGTGAAGCACTTTACTTCTCGTCTCTTAGTTACTTTTGGGCCGTTAATCAGTAGAGGCAGCCATAATGACTACAAAGCTGCAAGAATCATAAATATTTTAGAATATGTTTGTACAAAGGAGAGGATATAATCCTGGACTCTCTCATTGTTACTAAACTTTGTTCTCAAAGAAGTTTTGCTCAATGGAATTGTCACTATTAGTCAATTGCATCTAGCCAACCCCGATAAGAATTCAGCAGGAAAGAAACTGACAAAAATCTTCCTATTTAAGGCATGAATTTTTACGTATAATCAATTTACAGCATGCAATAGATTCTATTGTTCATGAAAGGCGAATTGCACCTCTGACTGCACCTTGATTAGTTATCTTGGGAGGTTCTTTTCAATGCATTTTAAATAGAAAAGCTAAACTAAACTGATGGGGAATGGATTTCTTCAAAAACTGAGTCAGTGAAATGCAGCAATTAACAATCCATGTCGGAAATGCGGCAAATCCCAGCTAATAGTGACAGTATACTGAAATCCTTCACATGCACATTCCAGAAACTTAACCTTCAAAATTATTTTTGGTTTCTTTTTTACTATCTTCGGCCCTGATATAACTAGTTAAGGGAAGATCGCAACCGGATAACGCAGAGTTACTTTTTATGTTGCTACACACAAACCCAAAAAAGAATTCAAAAATATAAAGTAGTTTACAGTGCTAAGAATTCCTCAGAAGTGGCATACTTCACCACCAAAATCTGCATGTCCAGGTGTGTCCACCATGTTTAGCTCATTTTCCTTCCATGAAATTGAGGTCACCTGCAAATGATGAGAAGTTTACTACTTGAGAAATTTTTAAAAAAAATAAAAAAATTCCCCAGGAAAGCTTTGCCCACAGCAGAATAGTTGGGAACACAGTCATCGACCTCAATAAAAATGTACGAACAAGGGAATTTCAAATCAAACTATTCACTTGCCCCCTTTAAGTGATCTAATTCTTCGCTAGCATGGTACCGTGAGGGAAGGGTACTTGTTTCGGGATATATTTTTCTCTGACAACCTTGACTTAAATCCCAAAAGAATCAAGAAAAGGCAGTTTCATGAAGATTAAAATATGGTGAAATAGATGTCTGGTGACCCTCAAACATAGTCAGCAAAATCTATAACTTTCATCCTGGCTCAGAGAAAAATACCTTTAGAACATGTTTCGTCAATCTACTGCCAACCATTAAACAGGTAGCAGCCGTAAGCCCGGCCTTTTTGTCATCATAGCCAGTCAGTTCTTAGATCTCCATAGTTATCTCAAACCAATAGTTCACTAGATTCCAATTCTATAAGCATTTAGTAGGAAACAGTTAACTAGTTGCCTTCAAAGTTACAAATCAAAGAAAGAAAAAAGTTTCACCCAGACCATCTCAAAGGAGTTCCTAAGTATGATATACCTTCCATCACCTCCAATAATCAATTTATTTTTTTAAAACAGGTATGGAAATAATCCTTCCTGTGATAAAAAAGTAACTATCAACAAAAGTCATACCAAACTTCCGATTATAAGCACCATCAAGAATATCAAACTGTCCATCTAATCCATAATGATAACCCCAAAACAGAACCATCCATCCCTGGACCAAGTGGCACAACTGCTGCATTCAAACATTAAGATATGCAGAAATGCTCACAGTTATCTGGACAACCATGAAACAGTTATATCCTAAACTGAAAGATACAAATAAGCCTAAAGAAAAAGAAAAACAATAAACAGTCCAATACCAAGATTTAGAAATTAAAACAAATTATACACAGTAAAAACAATAAGCAAATTAAGAACAGAAATGTTGTACTAAAATTGAAAGTTAAACAAAAAGGATGACCTTGGAAGCAATAGTAATCCCGCGCTCGCGTTCCAGACTAATTGAATCCATGGCTCTTTCGTGAGGAATATCAGCGCCGCACTGCCGGAGGAGCCGATCCATGAGTGTCGTTTTACCGTGATCGACGTGGGCAATCACCGCCACGTTCCTCAGACGGCTGGGGTCCAGCACTCCGCCGGTGGCTGAAGCTGCCGATGCTGCTGCTGGACTAGTAGCCGCGGCTGCAGCTGAAAAGCCGCGGAACATTCCGGTGGCGCGTGTGAATGTGGTGGAGACATTGTTACTGTGGAAATAGGAAGTGGAGGAGGTAAAGGATTTCTTGGTCGCCGTTGACCAGAGGGAACGAACCAGTTGACCGACCATTTCAGACGGCCGGTGGAGTGGGGATGAGCACAGTGAGAGAGCTCTGGGGTTCACCTCACCAGAACAGGGTTTAGGGTTTTAGAGATAATTGGGGAAAAATTTTATTAAAAAGCAAATGATACTCGGTAATATTAGTATTGCAATACATACTGTATTCATCAACAAATAATGACATCAAATTTTAAGCCATAGTGACAAAAGGTTAGAATAATATCATTATGAAATTCTGGTTACTATGTGTAATTGTGTATTATTCTGTTATTTACATATATAATACTTCATTTGTTCCAGAAAAAAAATTTGGATTAATTGTTTAGTTTTAGCTTAATAAACAAAAGTTCACTTTTTACTCTACAGGTGTGATATGAAAGAAAATTTTAAATGTTTCTTCAAAGTTTGATGGAATTTTTTTCGTTGGTTCAATTATGTCCTAATAATACACAATTATCAAGTTCAAATCTAGACTTATTAAGTTAGATTACATGTTTCTGCAAAACACATTGTCGAAATAGAGAATATATTAGAATGAATGTGGATATTTTGCTACATAAGAGTGCAACCTAAGAGTACTCAATCTTACAAGTGATAAAATTTAAAATGGTTCATTGTATTTGAATAACAATTATTTAGAATTAAGTGTATTTTACTAGATAAGTTTTTTGTACACATATTCTTACGTGTGCAATAAAGTATTTCTTGTGTACTTCTTGACTTCTCGTAAATATTTCTTTTTTACCAATGCACTTGATTCCTCAAAAAAAAAAAACTGATAATAATAATAATAATAATAATAATAATAATAATAATAATAATAATAATAATAATAATAAACCTTTTTCATCAAGGATCAATAGAATGCTTCCTCCAACAAGAATGATTTACAAATTACAAGCATATAAGTTGGTGTAAAGTTGGCTAATTTGTGTGTAAATATTGTCTACAAAAGTCACTTTGTTCAGTCCTATATTTTTCCTAAAAAATTGATTAAAATAAAGGTGGACAAATTTAAATTTTTAAGAATATCTGTGGATATATATATATATATATCTTACGGATTTCTGAAATCCGGGTACTAATTTAAATTAAACCTTCGGATTTCCGAAATCTGAATCCACATATATTATTAAAATTATAATTATATACATTTTGTGGAATTATAGTAAAAAGAAATCAGAAAATGAACAGTACATTCGGATTTTGAAAATCCGATTTCTAAAAAAAAAAACAAAATTGAGGTGCGAAATTTTTGAACTCAAATAAGGAGTTCAGGTCCTGGACTCCTTAACTAAACAGTAACTTTAAAAAAAAAAAAAAAATCGAGGCGCGAAATTTTTGAACTCAAATAAGGAGTTCGGGTCTTGGACTCCTTAAATAAACAGTTACATTCAGATTTACACCTTAAAGAAAAGAGAAAATTGAGGCGCGAAATTTTTGAACTCAAATAAGGAGTTCAGGTCCTGGACTCCTTGAATAAACAGTTAAAATCCGAATGCCTTAAAAAAACAGAAAATTGAGGTGCGAAATTTTTGAACTCAAATAAGGAGTTCAGGTCCTGGACTCCTTAAATAAAATGTTACATTCGGATTTACGAAATCCAAATACCTTAAAAAAAAGAGAAAATTGAGGCGCGAAATTTTTGAACTCAAATAAGGAGTTCAGATCCTGGACTTCTTAAATAAACAGTTCCATTCGGATTTACAAAATCCGAATTTATTTAAAAAAAGGAGAAAATTTTTAAATCCAAAAAGCCGAAATTCATAATCCGGATACCGGTATTATGATTTTTGAAATCCGAAGGCTTTTAATTTTGGTTGGTGGAAGTAGGCATCTGCCATAAATTGGAGGACCAAAAAATAGAATAAAAAATTCGAAATTGACCAAACTCGGATTTCTGAAATCCGATTATACGGTGATTCGGATTTTGGGAATCCGAGTTACTTACGGATTTGGATTTCCGAAATCCGAGTTTAGCGTGCTACAAAAGAAAAAAAAATCAGACAGTTCTCATTCGAGAACTGAATTGGATTTTCTATTTCTGCAGCTCTTGGTTGGCGAATTGGAGCTTTTGATGGAACCTTACCGCTAGATACGTGGGAATCGTTATTTAAAAGAGGTTAGATTGCAAAACCATGTTATTTAGTTTAGTTTTGTGTTACTTTGATTGTTAGAATGATGTATGATAGATTAGGATTTTTGTTTGTTGGTTGTTTGGATGTTTTAGGTGTTGATTTTGAGGTTAGAGATGATAAGTCATTGTTGTTCATGAGATATGGAAGTTGATTTATAAGTATTTTAGGATTTTATAGGTTTTTTGAATTATGAATGGAGTATGTATGGTGTATTTGTTGATTTTGTTATTAAGAAATGAATAGATATTGATGTTTTTTTTAAACAGTTATCAATGGCATGTAATGTATCATACATGCTTAATTTGTATCATACAAGCAAGTATGTGATAGAGAATGGTAGCATCAACACTTTTTCGAATATCACGGATGATGGTTTGTTTGTTGAGGAAAGATTATCATATGATGAATTAATTAGTAAGATTTGTATGGCACTTGGTTGGGATCCAGCACACGTGAAACTCCACCTTTCTGTGATTTCCAATAGTCCCGGTGGTAGGCATGTAGTGAAGATCAAGAAATATTCGCATGTAAAGTTCATGAACCGTGTAGCTCCAATGTCATGTTTGGATTTATACATAGATTTGGAAGATATCACTCACGAAGAAAGAGAAGCGAGTTTGGAAAACAACATGTCCTTTGGTGGTTTTCCACGGGGGGAATGTGCTAGTACTTCTCGAAACTGTGATGAAGAGGAGACACCTTTATTTGCACAAGATGACTACATGGAAGAGTCGGATCCCGACTACATAGCTCCAAGCGAAAGCGAAGAAGACCGTGATGTCTCTGCAGAGAGTGATTTTGAGGAAAGTGATGATGAATTATTGAAAAATGAGGAAAGGATCTTAATCCATTGCCCCGACGCCATGTATATAGTAAGATGTGGAAATAGGATGTCTCGTGTGTGGACAAAGATAAGTTTGCTCTTAAGATGTGGGATGAGACGCCCGAAGGAATGGACATTGGTGTTTGTTTCAAATCCCAATCAGAAACAAAACATGCTGTGAAATTACGGAACATCCATCATAAAAGAGAATATACGGTCGCCGCGAGTAGTCCAAAAATGTGGGTTGTGCGGTGCAGAACATTAAATGTGAAAAGTAAGGATGGTGAACCACCATGTGAGTGGAAGATGCGTGTGTCTTTGAAAGATCACGGCCTTCATGAAATTGTAAGATGGCATGATGCACATAATTGCATGACTCCCGTGAATGATAATGACAATTGGTGTGTGGACGCGTCTTTGATTGCTAGACTCATCAGAAAAAAGGTTGAGGACAACATAGATTATACGGTGGCCTCGGCGCAGAAAGATGTGAAGACCTTATTGAAAGTAGATGTACCATACAAAAGGGCGTGGCACGGGAGGAGGAAAGCCATAGAAGCGGTCTATGGTGATTGGATCTCGAATTTCGAAGAACTTCCTAGGTAAATATCAACTTTTATCCGTATTGTTATGTGCATTATTTTTAGTTTTTTTTTCGTTAAATGTATTGAAATATTTTAACTATGACTGGTTTGTTGTTTAGGTATATCACGGCGCTTAAGTTTACTAATCCTGAGACTATAGTAGAGTGAGAATGGAAGGATGGACAAGAAGGTTGGAACAGGAGAAATAGGACATTTCAATACGTCTTCTGGTCATTTGCACCAGTGGCTGCGACGTTTCTTGAATGTCCACCGGTCATTTGTATCGATGGAACCTTCTTGCGTGGTGGATACAAGGGTAAATTACTTGTTGCGGTGGTCTATACCGCAAACAAGTACATTTTACCAGTTGCATTTACGATTGTGGATGAGGAGACAGTAGATAGTTGGACATTTTTTATGAGGAATTTGAGGTTGTGGGTTGTGCAGGATAGAATTGTAAGTGTGATATCCGACTGGAATGCAGGTTTGTTGAGCGCAATATCACAGATGGATGAATGGCGTGATTTAGGAAATGGTGGCAACTTTCTTTGCCTCCGCCACGTTCGCAGCAATCTTGTGTCGCGATATAATAGCCGAAAGGTGAAGCGGTTATGTTGGAAGATGGACACGACGCATTCAAGAGTGAAATACAACTGTATGAGGGTAGAGCTTATTAAATTCAAACATGCTGCATGCGAGTATCTTCGAGGGATTGGAGGGAGTAACTGGGCTCGATTGAAAGCCGGTCTTTGCCGTTGGGGCATAGCGACAACCAACATCTTCAACCGGGGCCGATAGAAGATAAAGTGCTATACCGTCAAGCACATCATAGGTCCCAAGCTGTCTTTGAGAACAAGGTCAACAACATTAAAACATTCCGCCTCAAGAGTCGTAGATACGATAGCGACTTTTTGGAGATATACAATAATCATACGGCACCAGGGGTTCAGGAAATCATTAGGAGAGCCGGTTTTGAGGGGATAATGAAAGTAGGCTACAAAAGATTGGATCTCGGTCTCATTACGGCGTTGGTGGAGCGGTGGAGGCCAGAAACTCATACTTTCCACTTCAATTTTGGGGAGGCGACTGTGACACTACAGGATGTTGAGGTCCTCTTTTGTATTCGGGTGGATGGTGACCCGGTGTACGGTATGACAGTTAGCCGTAATGCCGAGAATGGCGGACGAGATGTGAGACTTATTAGGGATTCCGGTCAGCCCAAGTAAATGGCCAATTTGTCAATATTAGTGTTTTCGAGGATGAGATGGGTCGTGCACTCCCTGAGAATTCCCCAGCCCAGCGATTCGAGCAAAGGGCCTGGATACTAATATTGCATTTTATTAACAGTTTCATGTTTCCTACTAAGACTCTAAACACTGTCAATCTGCGATTTTTGGCCCAGGTTGAGGATTTGGAGCAGTGTAATCGAAACAGTTGGGGATCGGACTTGCTGGCTGGTTTGTAGTCTGGGCTGTGCGAGGCATCCCAGTACACCATGCACGACATCACTTATTACAGGTATGTATTAGTTTTCAATAGGTGTTTTAATTGTTTTTGTTTTCGATGTTATAATTTGAAGTGTTAACATTATTATTGAAATTTAATGGGTGTGGGCGTATGAGTGGATCGAGAGAATCGCGCCACACAAAAAAGGAGTAGATTATATACTTGATGAGACGGCTCCATTAGCTCAGCGGTAACCCCTTTGTGTTTGTACATTAAGGTGGGAATGTAGGTACACCTACGGAGACGTCCCAAGGAGCAGCTTGCTACCTTTTAGAGATCAATTAATAAGCCTGCGTGTTGAAGATGTAAGTACTTAATTTGGTATTCACCCTGTATTTTGAATTTCCTTTTCTTCCGGTTATACCATTTAAATAAATTCTTTTCGTGCAGTTTTAGTGGCAACCATATGCAAAGGTCCTTAATAGACTCCCTGATTTTTGTAAACAAGGCCAAGCCATTTGGACGACCAAGTGTTAGATGTTCTGTTGGGCAATTAGGGAACCCCACGAGTTGGGCAGAGTTGTGAGACAATTTGGATACATACATGATGTTCATAGTCGCCCTATGATTAAAGATAACACAACATTTCTTCTCGATCACGCCCACAATATGTCTGGGTATCCTAGCAACAACTGGGTGGATCACTATTCCGCAGTACGTCCTCACTGGAGAAAGAGAGAAAAATACGTTCTACAAGATTTGGAGGTCGGATACCCTGGCGAAGTATATGAGGGGTACTATGAATGGTTCATGATAAACACTGTCAAGCTGATATCCAATCCCAAAAATTATGAACCTAAAGGATACGAGACTTGTTCGAGCCGAATGAAATTATATGTGAGTTCATTCTATATTTTTGGTTTCTTATTTCTTATATTTTCCTTTTATTTTTTTCTTTATTTTTTGTATTTTACTCTCTTAATTAACGTTCCAATTTCTTTTCAGGGTGAAGTATTGAACAACATTCGTGTGAGTTCCGAGCTGTTTAGAGATAAACGAGATGATAACAATCTCCTAGACGATGAACTCGAGGGGCATTTGAACAAAATCATCGATCAAGCACATGTTGCTTTAACCCTGGATGCAAATGATGAGATTGACGTGGACGATACCCAAATCCTAGTTGATGAAGAACCATCTATGTTCTCACAACCTCCGCCGGGGTAAAAAAGCAAAACTGTGGTCGAGAAACAAGGTTGGAGGAGGAAGAAAGAGAAAGATAGTGATCCCCCCTTGGACATCGCAAGAACAAAATGAGGGTCAACAACGAGATGGCGAGGCGGCTTCTTCTAGAGGCTCGCACATCCAGGTCCAGACTCAATTTAAAGACATTGGTGGACCCGAGACTCAATTTGGTGAAGAGTCACAACCACAACCGCAACCACAACTGGGAGTCCTATTTCTCACCATGGGAGAGTCCCAATCCCAACCCCAACCACGTCAACAACAGGGTTCAATACTCACGTATCTTCGGAGGGAAGACAGGAACCGGGTGGGGCCAAATAAATACACTTCGGATGCGCTTAAGAAAGGAAAAGGGAAAAAATGAGCCCTTTGATGTATTTTTACATTTAAAGTAGTTTTTTGATTTATTTTGGATTGAAACTTGTTAATGTTTCGTTGTTAATCGAATGACGTTTATTGTTTTGTTGCTATTAGATTTCTATTTTTCTATGTTTCATTGTTGTTGGTGCTGTAAACAGGTTTTAGCTGGTTAAAACCAGTCCAATTTATTTTTTCAGTTCTGACAAAGATTCGAATCTAGGAAATTCGAATCCTCTCATTTTGCAAAGGACTCGGATTTCACAAATCCAAATTGGTAGCTAACTGGGAGTTCCTAGTTTTCAGAAACAGAGCATATTCGGATTTCAAACATCCGACTGTATCCAACTTCAGATTTCGCAAATCCAAATTGGTAGCTAACTGGAAGTTCCCAGTTTTCAGAAACAGAGCACATTCGGGTTTCGGAAATCCGACTGTATCCAACTTCGGATTTCATGAATCTGTATTTAGCCGAAGAGGTTTCCCAGATTTTCAAAATTCGTATTTGTCTGGTTCGGATTCCAGTAATCCAAATTTAGCTAAAATGCATTTTCCAACACTTATATTTTTTTCTTTCCGAAAATTAATATTTTATTAGCATATTCAGATTTAGAAAATCCGTAGTATCATTAATTACACTAATTTCTATTATTAACTTAATGTCAGATTTACATTACACAAACTCGGCTTTCGATAATCCGAATTTTGTAGGATTCGGATTTCAGAAATCCGAGTGCATCCCTGATTCGGATTTCAGAAATCCGTGGCATATAGTTTTGTTCATAAAATTTCGCGAAGGTTTATTTTTGTCCAGGTCTTTAATGTGCAAGTATATTTAAGGAAAAAACTCAGGAAAAGCCTTCCTAATTGTTTGAATGATAGATCACATTAACCCCTCTTAAATTGAAGTATGAACATTGGTTTGCTTAAGCTTCATTAATATCAATGGTTCATAATCACTTTTTGTCTTCAAGTTTTTCAATACAATAATTAGATTAGTAATCTTTATTTTTGTTTCTTTTTTGGACGAATGCACGTTTTGGTCTCCAATGTATTGGGGGTAGGCCAACCCAGCCACCAAAAAATTTTCACAACCAATTTTAGTCCCTTAATACTTTTTTTTGTCCGTTTTTAGTCTTTTAACAAGTTTTTTGTTCTGATTGATGGAAATTTTAACCCCTCCGTTAAATTCTGAATTTTTTATTCATTTCCAGCAGGTGGTGGGTCACACGTTAGTTGACCATGAATTTTTTTTTGTTAGCTTTTTCTTATTTTTCTTCTCAAATAAAAAAATACAACAAAGGCAGTTAAGGACCAAAATCCTCTCCCGTCAAAACCAACCAAACAAAACAGATTCAAATTAATGCATACACAGCCTCCAACAACACAATAATGCCCAGATTTTGTTTTCGACATAATCCTAAGACACGAGATGTCACCCAAAACACGAATCTTAAATTGAGTCTGAAACTAATACAATAGATAACTTTTCTCTAAACGACGGCTGGCCAAGACCCAGTTCACTTCCATTTTAATTGTGAGCAGACCCATCAATCCCCAAGCCTAGAATCCCATTCCCAGTACATCTTCGAATAGCCTAGTCATGAGAAAGAAGTGATTTTTGGGCAACAAGCTCAAGAAGCGGAAACCCAATACTATTTTGACCAAATCCAGGTGCCAAAACCTCTAGAAACCGAAACCCATTTCGTTTTTCAACAAACTCATGAAGAAAATGTTCAATAAAATGGAATTGGTTTTGATTCTGAGCCATCCCTTGAAGAAGTACCTGTTAAAGAAGATGAGCCGGTTGAATGATGTGGAGGAAAAGGGACACAATTGCTTTGTTCTTTTGTGGAGCTTGTGTTGAGAAGGTAATTGTGATTCTGAGTCGATATTTCGATCTGTATTTATAGAGAAAAAGAAGATAGCCGACTTATTTATTAATCCCTTTGAAAAAGGTATTTGGAAATACGATTGTGTAGGTGATCACCTTTTAATTACCGGATGAATTTTGGTTTGATGACGGTAGCAGAAAGTTGGAAGGCGTCATCGGCGGTAATCTTCTAGAAGTGCCGGTGAACCGCAATTTATGGGCTACAATCTCCAGTGGCCGTCGTGATCTAGAGATGTGGAAAAGGAGGTAGAAATTTCCGGTGCGTTGTGAATCGAATATGAGGTGCATGTTTATTTGTCGCCGGAGATGATTTCCGCCAGATGTCACCAAATTGTCGCCGAAGACGATTTCTGTCAGACGATTTCACGGCCGCCGGAGAAGACTAAATGGGATGATTTTTTCTTTTGGACTAAAAATAAGAAAAGGCTGGAAAAAAAATTCTTGGTCAACTAACGTGGGACCCACCACCTTCTGGAAATGAATAAAAAATTAGAGTTTAACAGAGGGGTTAATATTTCCGTCAATTAGAACAAAAAACTTGTTTAAAGACCAAAATCGGATAAAAAAAAGTATGAAGAGACTAAAATTGGTTGTGAAAATTTTTTGGTGACTGGGTTGGGCTACCTCCAATACATTAGGGATCAAAACGTGCATTCGTCCTTTTCTTTTTGGGTTTACTTTCAGGAAAAAAAAACAAAAAAGGAGGAGGGTCATCTTTCCTTTCTCAAAATAAGCCTCAAGAAGGCAAGAAGTCCTTTTTAGGATGCTCACAAATAATTACTTGTTATTATTATTATTTATTATTATGTGACTATATGTCGTTATTTATTGCTACTAAAAATATAAGGAAAACTTTCAATAATAATCCTATATGTGGAACCAAAAATAAATATAAAGGAATCTACCAAAAAAAAGATGATTAGACGATAGATTAGCGCGCAAGTTTTCATTAAAACTGATAGTAAAATACCAGAAGGTTCTTCTTCCCTAGACCATGTACTGTACTATTTACTATTTACTGTAGTTCTGTAATTAACCCTTCTTTTTACTCACAATGCAATACCTTTTTCTGGTTATGTTCTACCTATAACTCTAATTACAATCTTACCAATTTTCAAACACCCTTTATTTATTTTATTTTTTCCCAGTTTCCTGCAATCTTTACATGTCCTCCATAAAACTACTTTTCTTCACCCTAATCCTCTGTTTCTTGGGTTGTTCTTTTTTCACTTGCTCTCTTCGTCATATTATAATTCATCTCCAAGAAATTCTCACTTTGACCGATCAGCAATCAAATTGATCGTATTATAACAGGTAAAAAATTTATTCATGCCAAAAAAGTTTCCCTCTTTTGTTGAATTCACTGTTTATAATTGAAAAAGGTTTTCTTTTTTGCTCGGTTTTTTTCTTCCCCTGTTTTGCTCTGTTTTTGTGTATGGCAATGCCTGAAAAAAGGTTTCGTTTTTATGGCAGAATTTGGGTTTTGAATTGAGAAAAAGATGCACCAGAGGCCAAACGGAGATCACGCATGTGCATCATGCAAGCATCAAAGGAAGAAGTGCAAAGAAGATTGCCTGATGGCCCCCTTTTTTCCGGTGAACCTGAGTTCGGAATTCCGGTCGGTGCACAAGACGTTTGGGGTCAGCAATGTGGCGAAGCAACTCAAGAAACTGGAGAACGAAGAAGACAGGAAGTCGTGTACGGAATCGATGATTTGGGTGGCCAATTGCTTCGAAACCGACCCGGTTCAGGGCCCTTTTGGAGAATACCAAAGGGTGGTTGCAGAATACAATCGGGTTCGTGAGGAACTCAATTATCTCAAATCCCAAGACCACCAATACTACAACAGGTTGACCACGGCGGCGGCGACCACTAGGCTTCCCCCCTCCGCCGCAGGTCCGACGAATTTGTTCGGGTACGGCAATCACCCACCCTCCGCCGGGCCAGTGGCGGTGGTGATGCCAAACGGCCAGTTAGCAAACAATGGGTGGAACAACAACGGTTGTAGAGCCATCGTGGCCGGAACTACCTATCATAATCATAATAACAATATCAACGGTGGTGGGCTTCTTGGTTCAGTTGCCGGTTATCATGATAACGGGAGTTTGAGGATTGATAATCATCATCATGGTGGCCCAATTAACGTCCAATTTCCTTATACTATTGATCATAATAACAACAATGGTAATGGGGTGGTTCAGGATTCGGATGAAGTGCAAAATCATTCTTCTGGGCCGCAGGTTATTAACATACCCCGGCGTCAGCAGCAACCGCCGCCGCCGCCGCCGCCGCCGCTAATTGGTCAAAACAGTCAAAACATGGGGAATAATGAATTTCAAGATCAAAAGGTTCGCCCCAATGGTACTCTTAGTCTTCGTCAACACCATCATCAACAGCAGAGTTATCCCATGTCTAGTTTCAGTCAGCAATCCTTCAACGGCGCAGGTAAATTTTTACTTTTAAAAAAACAAAAAAATTAATGGCATTAGTTTTATTTAGTTCAATTAACAAATTAGAAATGTTTGTTGATAATGTTTCCCACATTCCAGGGGATGTGAAAAAAATACAATTAGCCATGACCAAATGAATCTTCCCTGGATTATAAAACTAGTACATCAGACCAATAATGAATTTCGGGGTTTGATTATTTAGTACATTCCAAGTTTGGATCTTGTTATTAATCCATGTAAAGATTAGATTTTTAAGGAATCTAGGAAAGCCAGATGTAGTATAATGAAATTCTAATCAGGGTGGAACTCCTGAAGTTAATTTATAACTAGTACTATAAAAAAGATGTTGAATAATGGTTATACTATTAGAGTTTGATTACTAGAGAAAGAACTAATATAAAGGTTGGTGTCTTGTTGTTGTCCGAAAACTGTTTGTATACAGGGCAATATCATCCAACAAGTTCTGATGCAAATCCGGCAAAGAGTACAACTACTTCTACTTCTGCAGGGGATATGGATAATGGTTCAAGGTGGACAGCAAACTCATGATGAGTTTATGATTCTGCTTTGGATTTTGATGCTGATAAATACCCTAGCTATTTGCCCCTAATCATTTGTCATTTTTTTGGGGTTCATTTGCTGTCTTTATATTCAATGGTTACTTTGTTTGAGGGGTAATTGAAAAAAATGTATAGATTCTCTCATTTAGAATCTTTGAATTGTTCAGACAAAAGGGGATTTATAAGGTAGTAGTGCATTTAACACTATGAATCATAGGGTATGTAGAAACTAGGCATTTTGGTACGTATGTGAAAGGGATTTGAATGCTAATCGCATATATATATTATCCCTTATTGGATTATATCATGTTTTTATTGAAATCGAACCATTCGTACAAAAACTGAATTTTCCTTTGATAGTCAATTGATTTAGTAATTCTACATAGTAGGTTATTGTTGGTCGATTGAAATGATTTTTTTTGAGCGAACTGCCGAAGGTTTGATCACATTTTGGTTGATCTAAGTGCCAAATTGATGATCATACCGTCATTGTATATTCATTCAATCACTATAAAATTAAGCATTATGATCACTTTTTTTTTGTTTGGTTAAAAGCATTATGATCACTTTAAATTTAGGATTCATCAGTTTTTACGAATGTCCTATATCAATTACCCTAAGGCTGTGACTCGAAGAGGATATCAAGACGATCATAAGTTTAGTTAAATGGAGATAAACATACATGCAGTAATTCATTTCCAGTACTGTCTATCAGGAAACAACCATCTAATAATCATATTGATCAATGTAAGCACATGATTGGCCTCAATTAACAGCAATGTGAGGATTCACAATTACGTTCATTTGATTTGAGAGTCATTATTCGTGTTTATAAGCTCTGATCCCCGGTTCTTGTCTCAAGTTTGGAAGCAGCGAAGCACTGAAATGTGTTTGCAATGCAACCATTTTTAATATTGCGAGGAAAAACATTTTGAGTTGGATTCTTGAACTTGGACTTTAGTTAATTTAATAGCCTCCTAACTCCTATATATGGCTGGTTTGGAAGAACGGATCATTTTTTAACTTCTTACATCAACATCAACGTGGTGCCTTCCTGTTATTGAGAGAGTAAACTTCTCTCTGATGGTTTGAGAGGGAGAACTTTTTATGATGCTTGGAATTATACATAGAAGAGCTGCGGAAAGAAGGATAGTTACCCTTTAGGAAATACTCTTTTATCCCTTTCGTCCAAAAATTATTGTTCAATTTAGATTTTTTATTTTCAGTTCAATTTCCAGAATTATTGTCCAGTTAATTAGAAATTGAACTAAAAATGAAAATTTAAAATGAACAATAATTTTGGAACCGAAGAAATATTTCATTGTTGAGTAAAAGAAAAAAGCTCCATTCTATATTAAGTGTTGTTTTGAGAAAATACTTCTATTTGGAATGAGATAGAAGTCTTTTTAATAATTTGTCAATTTCTCTTTCGAACATGTAACTATGAATACATTGATCATAATGAATACAAGCACCACGGATGGGACTAGTCATTTCTTTTAGTTTTTTGATGCTATTGCTTCAACAGAGAAGAAACAATTCTAAAAGAAACTTAACGAAAATTGGTGTTGTTCCTGAAAAAGTACAAAACTAAGGAAACCAAATTTGCAACAGAGGAAAAGAATAAGAAATTTGCAACAGAGTAGAAGAATAAGAAGAGAGATCTAGGAGCGGGCAATTGTCAATTTTTTAATTTGTTAGAAAGGGAATATGTCAGTGCGAAGTATAAAATCGCTGAAAAGATGTCAATGTGAGAGATATTATATAATTACGTGGTAGGGGCAACTAAATCCCACCTCATTCTTGAAAATATAGATAGTTAATTCTAGTTTTTTTTTTTTTAAAAAAAAAAATTGTATGTAACAGTGTTTATGTGATTAGAATTTGGTTGTCTATTTGGGGACATCCGAAAAATAGAATTAGAATTTTGTTACATTTAAAGAGAAGAATATTTAGTTTACCGCAATTAAGGGTTTTTTTTTTGGAAACTCCTTTCCTCTAAACCTAATTATGAATCACTGAAAATTAACGATTCATCAGTTCACATATCTTTGAGTCGCAAGGAAGTCCAAGAAAATCATAACCTTGTCCAGAAATTACACAGTGCAAACAAACATGCAGGCTTTTACATGTTTTATTTAAGCAACAAACCCATCTTCCCAATGAGTATATCTATCTTCTTTCTACAAGAAAAGAACCAATTTTTTTTTTACACTAGGTTTTTTTTTCCTGAATAAGTATCAACGTGAAAGTATTTCGCACGTGTAGTTTAGGGTTTACACAGCAACCAAGCAAATTTATTAATACTGCAGGATAAGGAGGATCCGGACACACACACACACACACACACACATACAAAAAAAAAAACTAGTATTATCAATAAATTTGTCAAGACTTTGTAATACAATCATAAACCTTATTTATCTCATAATACAATAAGTTTACTTTCTAAACTATAATTCTAACTGTGAGAACAATACTGGTCTAAGAACACACAAAAAAAAGAAAGAAATTCCATTCTTATTGCCAGCAACAACAATCAACAGGCGAAAAATTGTTGAAGATCAAATCAGCGACGCATCTTCTTCAGCACGTAACATACCCATAATCATAGGGAAAGGGATCACTTCTTGTGGTTGTTGTTTTGCTTCTAAAACGATGTAACCATTGTTCTTCTTGTGTAATAATGGGTCGACGGTCCAAAATGCTGAAGTGGTGTCAACGTCGCCCATTCTCGCTCCTCCTCCTCCACCACCGTAACTACATCTCGACGGACTTTAATTCGCGGCAGCTTCTTCAGCAAGTGCGTGATGTCTAGATCGGAATTCCTCGAATCCGTCGACGTATGTTGCGACTGAGGTTTAACTTCTTTTCTTATTCCTTCCTTTTCAACTGCTACTACTTCGTGGTTAGCTGAGGAACCCATCTCGCCTGAAAGTTTCTGAACTTCTTTGAAAGATGAAATATTGCGCAGAAAGCTAATTAAAAAACAAGGGATTCTCAGGGTTTGAGGAATTGATGAGAATTAAGCTGTATACCGTGTCTTTGTATTTATAATAAGCAATAACCACGGTTAGGTCGGTGTATAAATCCAATTTACTTTTTGGAAGTAACGATTTTAGAAACTACTAGAAGTGCTTAGTTATTTTTTAAAAATTATTTTTCCTGTAAACCTTCTTGTTTTATTTCCTTAACCAAACAAATTCTGTCCATCGACTTAACAAGATTAATTAAAAGTTTGGAAGCTTTTCTTTTTGGTAGTTTCTTAATTATAATAATCACGTACGCGCGAGAACCCATTGGTATTTTTGCTTCAGAAATTCAGAGTTTGGAATTCAAGTTCCGCATTTGAGGTCTTATATTTATTTTTCATTTTTTTTTTGTTTGTATAATCGTTAATCAATGTATTTATTGCTTTTGTACATGCATGCATAACTTCATGGTCCTGGCTATATATAAAGTTCATTCAACTATTTGTAGAGAAAATTTGTTTCTCAAAAATAAGTTATCTAGTTCGAATCTACATACTATACAATACTGGGCACGTAGCATGCAAAAAATAATGTACCTTTACTCCCATTGATGTTAGAGTTTTGATTACCAAAAAAAAAAAACTGATTTTAGTTCAATTACAATAAAAGTTCGACCCTAACTGAATGGGAAATATAATAGATATGTCATTATTATACAATAAAAGTTTGAGGTAGACGATAAAGATCAAGAATCAAGATCAACTGTCGACTTATTAACACACCCTAATTTTATCATTTTTTCTTGATCAACAGTCCCTCTTTTTAGGGCGATACCTTTCGGAGTTTTTTTCTCCCCTTATTGTTTGCTCTCTTTTTTATATTCACAATATATACCAGTACTTTTAGAATCTCATTGGGCATTACTAACAGATGATTATTAAACTTCTTACCTCAACATTAACATTGTGTATTCTTGTTATTGAGAAGGTGAACTTCTCTCGACGTTTTGAGAGGGTGAACTTTTTTATGATGCTTGGACATTTTAGAAGAGCTGCATAAAGAAGAATAGATAATTATCCTCTAGGAATACTCTTGTATTTCGTTGTTGTCTAGTAGAACAAAAGGGCTCCGTTCAATATTGAATGTTGTTTCCAAGATATATTTTTATATGGAATGAGATAAAAGTCTTTCTAATAGTTTGTTAATTTCTCTTTAATTCAAACATGGAATTATAAATACGTTAACCACAATGAATACAAACGCAATGGATGGGACTGTTCATTTGTTTTATTTTGTTGTTATTGCTTCAATAGAGAAGAAGCAATTGTAAAAGAAATATAAACAAAATGAAAGAGTAAGGAAGCAAGGAAACCAAATTTACAATAGAGGAAAAAAATAAGTTTGCAACAGAGAAAAAAAATCAAGAATTAAGAGAGGCATTAGGTGAAGTCGTCAATTTTGATGTAAATAGAAAATTATCGCAAAGAGGTCGTGTATGGATACGTGACCGGACAATTGAATGCCACCACATATTGTTGAAAATATTGAAGACCGAGGGACAATTTTCGGAGGCTAATTTTATAGCGGACTATATAGTCTTATTAGCAGCACAAGAATCGGGAGGTTTACAAAGATTTGAAGATCCGCCATCAGAAGTCAAACCGTAGTCGAAACATTATATAATAGGTGTTGCATATTCTAGAGATGTATTAGTTTGATTTTAGGCTTTTAGCCCCAAAAATATTGATATTATATTATAGGATTTTTTATTTTTGATTTTTTGTATGTGACAGTGTGCATTAGAATTTTGCACATTAACGTACACAGTGACTTGTTGTTATACTTAACAGAGGTATGCAGCAATTTAAGGAGGAACTCCATTCCTCTAAACCTAATCATTATGAATAACTGTCAATTACTTATTTTTTTAAAATAAAAGATAAATTTATTAATATGCTAAAAAATCGTCTAGCAACGATTAATAAAGTAAAATACAATTATAAAAACATAACTTATATAGAGTCATAATGCCATTATTGTGTTTTATTACATGGATAAACATATATTGATTTACCCCATAAAATAATGGCGGTATTACGTGTTAGACTTTTAATCCGGTTAAGAATACAATTAACATTAACCTTCGGTTGAAACTCCCATATCGTAAACCTAATAATTAAATTTATTATGATTAAATCTTATTGGACCACCAAACCGACGAACACCTTCAATGAAGTCGTTACCGCTGTACCTATATATATCACCGGCTAAACCGCCGTTATATTAGCAAACATCAACAAGGATGCCACCGCCATATGTGCAAACATCAATAAAGATGTTGCTGCCATACTGTAAACTATAAATTATATATGAGAATATAAATTATACTGTATAACTATTACAGTATAATTTATACTGTATAGTTTACAGTATAAATTATATTGTAAACTATAAAGATGTTGCTGCCATACTGTAATCTACAAATTATATATGAGAATATTAGTGTATACATCCCAACGTTTATACCCTACTAGCGAATTCATCCCAAAATTTTAGAATTGGTTAATTACGTCCCAAGGTTATCAAAATTGAGCAGATCCATCCCATGACCTGCAAACCAACAAAAGTGACCTGATATAATAAGTAAAATCATTTGGATCCCATATTTAATATTTTTTCTTATGTTTTTTGAATTTTTTTAATTTTTTTTAGTTTATTTAAACAAAATTAACATTTATAAATAGAGAAACTAAAAACTTTAATTTATTTTTAATGAATCTAATATATTTATAATTAGAATCATCTTCATTTTTTGATAAAACTTAAAGAAACTTTCCAAAAAAAATTTCTTTATTTTGAGTGAAAAAAGAATGATTATGCTTTCACACACATACACATATATATCGTGTATTCAAAAATTAATTAATTTTAAATTTATCTAAAATTATAAATTATTTCATTTGTGATGCATAAATTATTTTGATTAAATGAGTAAATTTTTGAGTTATTTTAATATAGAAAATTTTGTTTATTTTTTAATGAACTAAACAATGACCAAAAAATAAAAAAAAATGAAAAAAAAGAATAAATATGAGATCCAATAGATTTTTACCCGTTATCAGGTCATTTTTTATGTTTTGCAGGGTCATGGGATGTATCTGCTCAATTTTGATAATCTTGAGACGTAATTGATCAATTTTAAAACGTTGGGATGAATTAGGACACTGGTGTAAACGTTAGGATGTATCCACTCATTCACCCAATTATATATTAAAACTAAACTAAAACAAAAAAAAAAATAGTAGGTATCAATAAAGTTACTTCTCCTATCTTTCCACCATGATTTTTTTTTTCCAGGGCTTTAGGGAGAGGGAGGGCCTGAGAAGAGCCAGAGAGGAATGTCATTTTCAATTAACGATTTATTGCTTCACATATCTTTGAGTCGCAAGGGACTCTAAGAAAATCATATCGTTGTCCAGAACATTACACAGTGCAAACAAACATGCCCGCTTTTACAAGTTCAAAACAAATCACCTTACTTTTCAAGTATATCATTCGAAATTATTGTCCAGTTTGGATTTTCATTTTTAGTACAAATTGAACTAAAATTCGAAAGTTCAAAGGGGATAATAATTTTGGAACAAGGAGTTTCTTCTTTCTTCTTGAGAAGAACAAAAGTTTTTTTTTACACAAGTATTTTTCCCGAATAAGTATTAGGGGTGAAAATAACAAATACTGGATCAGGACCAAAAAAAAAAAACTATTATATATCAATATATTTGTCAAGACTTTGTAATACAATCATTCTCCTTATCTCGTAATAATACAATAAATTTGTTTACTTACTAAACCCTAATTCTAACTCCAAGAACAATACTTGTCTGAGAACACAAAAAAGAAATAGAAATTCCATTCTCATTGCCAGCAACAACAATCAACAGGCGAAAAATTGTTGAAGATCAAAGCGGCCAGGCATCTTCTTCAGCACGTACTGTATCCGTAATCATATGTAATGGGATCACTTGTTGTTGTTGTTTTTGTTTCTAAAACGATGTAACCATTGTTCTTCTTTGGTAATAATGGGTCGACGGTCCAAAATGCTGAAGTGGCGTCAATGTCGACCATTCTCGCTCCTCCTCCTCCACCGCCGAAACTACATCTCGACGGACTTTAATTCGTGGCAGCTTCTTCAGCAAGTGCGTGATGTCTAGATCGGAATTCCTCGAATCCGTCGACGTATGTTGCGACTGAGCTTCAAGTTCTTTTCTTATTCCTTCCTCGTCAACTGCTACTTCGTGATTAGCTGAGGAACCCATCTCGCCTGAAAGTTTCTGAACTTTTATGAAGGATGAAATATTGCGTAGAAAGCTAATTATCAAGAAAGAAGGGATTCAGGGTTTGAGGGATTGATGAGAATTAAGCTGTATAATGTCTTCGTATTTATAATAAGCAATAAGTTAGGTCGGTGTATAAATCCAATTACTTTTTGGAGGTATCGATTTTGGAAAGTAGGAACTAGGAAGTGCTAGTTTTTTATTTTTTATTTTTGGGCGTAAACCTTTCTTGTGTTATTTCCTAAACCGAGTAAAACTTTGTCCGCCGACTTAACAAGATTAATCAAAAATTTGGAAGCTTTTCTTTTTGGTAGTTTCTTAATTAATAATCACGTACGAGAACCATTGGTATTTTTGCTTTAGAAATTCAGAATTTGGAATTCAAGTTCCGCATTTGAGGTCTTATTTATTTATTTATTTTTGGTTGTTTATATAATCATTAACCAATGTGTTTTATTGCTTTTGTACGTGCATATATGACTTGATGATCCCGGCTATATATCAAGTTAATGTTGATTGAATTATTTGTTGAACAAATTTTGTTTCTCAATAATAAGTTATTTGGTTGGAATCTAGCTAGATACTATTTGTCAGGAGTCGGGACAATACTGAATTCTATGTACCTTTACTCCCACTAATGTTAAAGTTTGATTACAAAGAAAACTAATTTTAGTTCAATTACAATAAAAAATCGAGATGGACAATAAAAATCAAGAATCAATATCAACTTGTGACTTATTAACACACCCTGATTTTGTCCTCTTTTTCTTGATCATGAAAGAATTATTTTCCTTGATTGATTATAAGTTTACAACATGATATTTATAATACAAAGATATGAAACCCAAGACAACTATTCCAAATGTTGAGTATCCCACATCGGTGGTGGAAGAGGTTTGATATCATTATAAGTTTATGGGCTACTCTCTTCATTGCCAATTGGTTTTGAGATAAGAACCCACGGTGACTTTGACATGGTATCAGAGCCCACGATTTGTGGACCTGTGATAACTATGGACCCGCGTGTGTGGACTTATCCCAGCATATATCTGGACTTATGGACTGACCCGACAGTATATCCGGAGTTATGTACCCCTGGCGTGTGCGGACTTATTGACCCGGCAATATATCTGGGCTTGTGGACTGACCCGGCAGTATATCTGGAGTTTTGTGCCCCTGTGTGCGGACTTGTGGACTGTGTCACCTGTTTAAAAACAAAGGCCACCCTACTCATTGCCAATTAGTTTTGAGATGGAACCCCATGGACTTCTATATGGTATCAGAGACAGCCCGCCATGAGTCTGACTCCAAGCCTGATGTGATAGAACTGGTAGGGCTGAGACGTGAAGCGTTGACTGGGCTAAAAAAATATAGACAAGCCCAACCCAAGAAGAAGCGTTGGGCTTGCGAAAGAGTGTTGAGTATCCCACATCGGTGGTGGGAGAGGTTTGATATCAATATATAAGTCTATAGGATACTCCCCTTATTGCAAATTGGTTTTGAGATGGGAGCCCAATATGACTTTGATACCGAAAACCTAATGGTATTTCCTTAATTATATTAACTATCATCCCCCGCAATCTTAGCAGGATGAGAAATCATGCTGATATTAGATCTAAACAAATAATATTTATTTTTAGCTAATGATTTTGTGAAGACATATCGGCAATCTGAGATTGAGTAGGGACATGTAAAACTGCCAGACGACCGGCCGCAACACGTTTGCGAACAAAATGAATATCCAGCTCAATGTGCTTTGTCCAGACATGATTAATAGGATTGGCAGCCAAATAAGTGGCAGCTCAACGTGCATTCCCTTTTTTTAGGGCGATACCTTATGTTTTTTCTTGTTTTCTTTCCTTTTTGGTTTGATCTCCTTTTTTATATTCACAATATAAAGTACTTCTAGAATCTCATAAGGCATTTTTAATAAAATTAGGTCCTTATACTGATATAATACTTTTAATGTAAAACTGATAACGTTTTTTTTTTGTATCGAATAAGAGCGGGTTGTTCAACTCTACGAATTGGCTTGAAACTCTTAAGGCTTTGATGATATTGATTTGGAGAATTGTCATTGACATAATTTCATCCACTATGTTTTTCATTATATTTACTGTGTAACCGATACCTATCAATCTCGTTTTGATACATACATTTGAAGGTTCACTTCCGCTTTTAAAGCTATAGAGTGAGTATATACCTAAAACGATCGACAAGCTTTTTGGTTTTGTTTTGTTTTGTTGTTTTTTTTTTCTTTTAAGGATTTAGGGTTTAAGATTTTGGTTTTTTTTTCCCTTTTGATACATTATGGTGTCTATGATCAACAATAATAATTAATTTATTTTCTGAGTCATAGATAGACACGTCCATGATGACTTTAATTTAAAACTGCGACTCATTAATAGTGGAGTTCTTCCAATGCGCCGCAACTTCTTAACTCTAAGAAACCTTAATAAGCTATACTGCTATAGTTAGGAACTGATCCTTCCCTCAACTTTTGTATGGGAGCTTTCTTTGCATCTATATGGAAACAAATTAACGAAGCGATGTTCTTGTCATTGAAGAGACTGATGAAATCTTTATTAGCTCTCGATCTCATTGCAAAATCAGTTGGCTAATGGCCGGCGTTATATTAGTTGGCAAAAAGTTGTTTAACAATAGTACCTTAAACCTTAATCAAACAATTTTTATAGTCAGCTAGGAGTTAGCACTCGAAAAAAATTATAAAATTATAGATTTTAGGCTTCAATCTGTAACAATATTTACAGTGAAATAGTACAATACAACTTTGTCGATTGCTAGCCCCTGACATTGGCAAAACCAACAATTCCTCTTGATTAAATTCCGATTTAATAATTTTTTTTTGCCAAAAGCTATAGTCATTTTTGTATTAAGAAAACCAAGAAGAAAGTGTAGAGTAGATATATACAAGCCACCGAAGTCGAGCTAATTACAATTGGCTGAAACGCTATTTCTAACTACATTAGAGGTGATGATTCCCAACAGTGAGAACAATTGTTAGAAACAGCTAAATTGGGCAGATTGATGCTAGAGGCCCTAGATGTGTTCCATTGTTTTCTAATATATAAGAATTTACAGTAAGCAAAACAGGGTATATTTTCTAACAATTTACATTCCGATTTAATAACTTTCATATTTTCTACTTTTATTTTGAATTTAAAACTAAAAACGTTGTGATTTCATTTCTTCCAGGTAGCAAAAGAAAATTCCAGCCATATACACAATTCCAATTGTATCTAATTAATAGAATTTGTATTTAATTTATAATAAACATCTAATTACTGATTTTCTAAAATTACATTTTCTTTTATCAATAACCTTTCTGACAAAAAAAAAAAAAAAACCTTTCTGACAAGTTTACTGAACTTAGAATAGGAAAATTGTATTGGATACATGATCATGTTATGTACAATATACAAACTATACTAAATATTACAATACGCCCCCGCAAACTTACGGCGTAAAAGAGAGAAGCCGAAGTTTGTCCCGGAATCGAAAGAATAATTCTTTGGACAAGGATTATGTCAGAATATGAGCAAGATGATCAGCAGCAGAGATAAACTTGACCAAAACAAACTTTCTCCGAACATGATCGTCGTTCTACTACTGATTTTCTTATTTATTTATTATAATATTTAGTTAATGTAATATTTAGTATATTTCCAATAACATATACGGTTTGTTATTGGAAATATACTAAATATTACAATAACTAAAACCCTCTCGCTTTCTTATTTTGGGTACTCTATTACAAATTTTTAACCTTTAGTCTCACGCCTTCATCCACTCATCTCTCTCACTGCCCAGAAATTGTTAGCATTTGAATTGGATTTCTTCCATTTCAACATTGATCACGCAGCCAGCTTTTTCCAATTTTCTTTCCTGATTCAATCAATCAACTCGACCGCGGGATTTTACTGTTATTCTATCAACACCATTTCTAATGGGTTCAATTGTTCTCATTAATCTTGTAGCCATTAATCTGTTTTTCGACTTTGCCTATTCCTCTGTTTCTCTTCTCCCTTTGGGAGCTCATCCTTTAGGTGAGTTTTTATATTTGATTAGTTTCTGGATTATTTATTATTCATGTTTAAGTTCAGCATTAATGGTCTGTTACTCTGTTTTTGGTTCGTTGGATTTTGAAGGTAAAGCTATTAAATGTGTTTTCGTGATTGGGATTTTTGCAGATGGGAAGTACTATGAATCGGAAGTAATAAAATGTAGAGATGGATCAAAATCTTTCACCAGAGACCGTATCAATGACGACTTTTGTGACTGCCCAGATGGAACTGATGAACCAGGTGCTCTTATGTTTTTTATTTTTTTTTGGTAGTTCTTTTGTGACTCAGTCCAATCAAATGTAGAGATGAAATAGCACTTTTTTTTTTCCCATCTTTACTTTGCGGCAAGTGTTTGAGTGTATTGATATTGAGCATTGGTATGTGTTTGAATTGAAATCTTGATAGCATCTCCTTGGTAGAATTCAGTGTTTGATTGGACTGAAGGCTGTAATATTATCTCCTTTTTGCATTGAAGACTTGATAGCTCTGTCACTAAGGGGTACAATTTTGTGCTACTTTGTTCTTTTTGAGCAGTTGAATGAGGGAATGCAACCTTTGAATTGTGAAGTATAAGAATGATCTTGAAGCATGAAATTATTCCTAGTTTTAAGTTTTATGTGTTTTGTAATCTTCAATGTTTGTACCTTCAAAGTCCGTTTTGGGACTCATTCGGTGAAAACTAATTTCTACAAGTTGTAAACTTCCTTATTCCCCATTAACAAAACTAATTTGATTTTGTACTGATAACCAATCTTACATCGGAAATGATTTGAACCCTGGTGTAGTTTGTAGAGTTTCAAGTAGGAACTTTAAATAGCCCGTTTCCTTTACTTTGATGCCCCCACCATTGTCAAAGCTAAAGTCACGATATCACAACCATTGCCTCCAGACACTGGCGACTTATAAAAATATTTCAAAAAGAGGTATCGTCATTGGAAAATGTGATCCCATGACTCCTTGTTTATTTAGAAGAAAATTCAGGCTTTCAGCTACTATGAGCCATCATTCATTTTCTCATCATTTCTCGTTTGTGCACAAGCAAGTATAGGCATCAGTGTATTTTCGCAATTCAATACATGATGGAGTTTAACTGATGTCTGATCATTTTTATTGCGGATGCAGGAACGTCAGCTTGTCCTGGTGGTAGGTTTTATTGCAAGAATCTAGGAAGCAGACCCCGGTTTTTGTTCTCTTCCCGTATTAACGACCACACATGTGGTGAGTACTTTGGTTGAATTGTTTATTGAGTAATATATTTAACCTGCTATGAAAAACATCTTTATTTGCTAATTTAGCTTGTTTTGCCCATAGGTAGTGAAAACCCTGCCTATTTTCTGGTCACTTTGAACATAATTCAAATGTGAGAAAATTTTTGGTGACCTTTTGAGTTGAAACCGGGGACAATTTTACAGAACAAAAATTCGCAATTTATCATAAAATTAGGTGCCTTTTTCAGTTCCAAAGCTGCTCTAGACTGTCTACTGAGTTTCACTCATCGATAAACAGAGATTTCAAATCCCTCACGCCGCCGACAATTTGAAACACGAATTCTCCCTTTATCTTTTCATAAAAGAGTTCTATCGCCTCCAACTCACACCGTTCACCTCAATTAGCAGCTCGTCATAACATAATATTCAGTTTATGTTCTCTCAGTAATTATAAACAGCCATACTTTTCTCGTCACCAAGTCAACTTTATATACTTTTCTGATTAGTGCTTTTTCATAGTTATATTGTCTTGTATTTTTGAGGGAGAAGAGGAGAAAAGTCTCATTCTTAGACGATACTGGTGAAAGCTGGTTATTCCTATCAAACTTCAAAATTTATTGGGGAGCTTTCTCTTTCCACTGTCATACATAAATCATGATGCCTCCCTCTAGACTGGATGGTTTTTTCCTAAAGATCTTGCTTAAAGTTTACATTTATGTCTAATTTCTTTTAGATTTTTTGTTTTGATGATTAAACCTTCTCCAGACTGCTGTGATGGAAGTGATGAATATGATGGAATCGTCATTTGTCCCAATACTTGCGTTATGGGCGGAAATATTGCTTATAAATCTCTAAGTCACAGTTCAACAATCAGACACCCAAATCCTGTTGGTGAAGGAAGGACCGATGTTGTTGGCTTTAATGCTCGAGACTCGGTAGAAAAACTCAAGGGTAAATAAACTCATTCTTTGGGCGCTGTTGTAGTTTTCTTTCCTCTATAGTTATATTTGTTCTGGTGGTTATTTCAGGTCTTAAGGCACTGGTAATGATTCAGGTGGTTCTTGTGGTGCTTGTGATGGCATTTAGGGTATTTCGCCGCCGTGTCAAGTCTAAAAGAAGACATTCTCATTGATCAGTGCTTCTCATTCCACCTTACTAGTAGTGGTAAAATTATTTGAAACATTAAAAAATTCTTCTTTAGATTTTCCTTTTATTAGTGGCCATTGCTACATCCAGATAAAGACAGCTTACAAAATCATGCCATATTTTTTGATATTGGTCATAGAATTGCTAGCAATGATTCATTGGACCGTCTCGCCCCAGAAAGGCTTATATATTTCAAACAGAGGATCTTTTCCTTGGCGGTCATTCCTTTATCAAAATCAAATTTAGAATGAAACTTTCAACTGAAAGTATTCTCACATTTCTAATACTTCCTGCAATACACTTTTCCTTTGCCTTATAAAGTTTCTCACAAAAGATTTCCTCCCAAGTACTTTTCATACCGAAGAAAAGTTTCTTCCAAGAGCTTGTAAAAATAACATTGTCAAGTATTTTATGCTTCCCTAGAACTTCTCATTTTACTGGTGTGGTTGTCTGTTTCTTTGTTTGGTAAGCACTGGTGTGGATTTCCTGCTCGCGATAGTTTCATTCTTCAACCTTCCACTATTTTTATAATTTCTTTTAGTTATATTAGGATAATGTATATTGGTTGCTCTCCAAATATCTGCTTGACCTTTTGTCTATACTATCTCTGGTTTAACTTCTTTACTAACCTTCATTCATTCATACAGGGTCAGCAATCTACCGAGCTTGCTTATCCAATTCAAGTATTGGTGGATTAAGTACTGAGATATGGCATTTTTCAAAGTTATCCTTGTCTCTGCCTTCTACACTTCACTTCTTCCTACAGTGTTTCAGTGTCCAGAACTGTTTTCATCAGATATCTCGGGGGAATAAATTGAATCTGCTGCTGAAGTGAAAAAGTTGGAAGAGATTCCTGGCTTCCTCACTGCATTTATAACTACCATGCTAGAAGTCCAATCTTTTCCCTTGTCTGCAACTTTTCCAGTGAACCTGAGATCAGAAGTGGCTGATGATCTTTGGAATCTTTTGTTTTCCAGAAACCCAGTTCTCTACCTTGCATTGTGTACCATACTCTTGTCTCCTCACTTACACTCTAAGTCCCGATCCCCTTCCACTTGCCTATGCTGTTCTCCAGCTTATGTGCAGTCTGGTTGTCTTCCTGCTTTGATAACTCACTCCTACTTTCTGCAGCATGGCTTAAGTGCCAAAACCTATCTCAGTCTGTTTTCACAATACTTTTGGAGTTGCAGGATGTTGGGTTTATAATCATCTGTGGCAGTTACAACTGTCTTATGTTGTCGCTGCACAGAGTTGATTAAAAAAGGCATTCAGTCTTTGATGGGTATGGCTCGAGTTGGTTTTATTCCTGATTGGATAGTTTGACACTCTTATTGGTGAAATGACTGATTTCAGAATGATTTTCAATGTTGTGGAAATGATGATTGAGATGGTGGGAACCTTCAGCTTGAGGTCAAGCCAGTAGCTACCGGTGAAAGTTGCAGCACTATTCCAATCATAAGAAGTGGTTCAAAGAACAGTTGGGATAATTAAACATTTGGAGTTAAGAGCATTAATGTTGGGTTTGATGAGTACAAGTTGGTACTGGAGGGGTGATTGGACTGTTGAGAAGTTGTCCTAGTAATGAAACTTGTCATGCGAATGACTGGAATAGGCTATATCCTTACATCTTAGTTAGCTAAAGGGTGGTTGAAAAACTTCCCATCATTGATGAGTGGGAACTACCTTCAGCAGTTATCAGTTTACAAATTTGCATTCGTTTCTACGTGACTAGAGCAATTGCAGTAAGTCATTTTGCATATACAGATGAGCTTGACCTTCTGCAATAATCGAATATAATGACCTCCAGACAATCTTCCTGTATTTCAAGTATATTACTGAATGCTAATTATTAGTAGTACTTAGTGCTTATTCTGGCACAATTGAATACCAAGCATTTACTACTGTATTAGAAAAGTCAGAAGCTTCTTAACTACAGGATTTTGTTTTTGTCAATCTCTTATGGTTATTCATGTCAATGGCAACTTTGTAAAGTGATGAACTGATTATTTTAACATCTGTTTTTTAGAGGCCACTAACTTTATGTTCTTCTCATAATTCCTCTTGCAATTGACTGATTTCATGCAGGAGAAATGGTTGATCAGTATCTCTGTGTGTAGTTTCTTCACAATCTTTTCTGAGTTCGGTGCTTTACTGTGGGATTTTGTCCTTAGCAGCAGCTTCTTGAATTGACTAAGCTAGCCGTTTTCTTGTGAAGGATTATTTCATATTGTTAGTCCTATAAGTTATTTGCTATTCATTTACTGCAATTATGTTTCACATTAATCAAACATAGTTGAGCATGCAATTAAATCATCTGCATAATATAGCATTTAGTGTGCACTAGAATCTTCAAGTGCTATACAATATTGAAAATTGTAGCTTTCCCTATATAATTGTTACTAATCTAGAAGAAAGAACACAATGCATGGTGTTTGAATCCAGAGATTCTGAAAGCACATCATTCTTTACAATCAATGCACGAAATATGATTTGTGCTTCTGTGTTCAGTAGGATATTACCCATTATAACTAACTCCAGGAGAAAATATTCTTTTCTCTCGAAATTCTTGATTGAAGCAGGGACAATTTTTGTTTTTTTTTTTTTGTTTTTGATGACGCATATAAAAACTTTTTGTTGAGCATATTTGTGTTTTGTAATTGTGGGTCGACTCTTTACTGATTCCTCTAGTTTGCTGGAACCTGAGGGAAGAGGGCTACTTCAGCTAGGACGACACCTTTTCTAAGATGTTGGAGGGCTAATAATTGACTGAACTGCCCCCCTAGCATAGAGGTATCTTTTGCACTGGAATGTTGTCTGAACGATTATGAAATGACCATGCCAGATTGAGTTTAGTTGGTAGATCTGTTATTTTACTGGAGTTTATGTGATAGTTGGACTGAAAATACCCTAGAGAGCTTTGAGCCAATACCCTGAAATGATGGTGAGATCATAGCTCAACATGATGTGGTGGTAGATGAAGTTACTTGGCACAATGTGAGGAAGAACAAGTTGGAAGCCATATCATACCTTCACTTAATGGGTACAGTCAAGTAGAACACTTCGAAAGTATAGCTTCTGCATCTAAAACTGGATATTATACTTTGAAAGCTTGAATCTCATTTATCTGTTGCTTGGAGTTTTTTTGTTTGTGTTTCATGACTATTGCATTCCGCACTGGGAGGATTTCTTAATTATCAGTGTATTTTTGCTGTTGCAACAGAAAATCTATTGTGTCTTTGAATGTTTAACAGCTGAGGAACTAGCTTTTGAGTGTTTAATAGCTGAGAAATTAGCTGACATCCATGTTGAGGCCCCTCCTCAAGAATCCTTAACTGGGTAGCTAGCTTCCAAGTTAATGCCACATTGACCTCTCATGTCATCAGTCTCACGTTTCATCTTGACGAAACCATCTTCACCCCATTCTGTGCCCCATGAATTCTTCACAATCCAGTACTTATCTTCACCTTCTTGACCATAGCCAACTATAGTCACTCCATGATCAAGTTCAACCCCACATTGGCCAGCAAAGAGTCCATGAGAATACAGTTGGAAGTCATGCCCACCGGCATCAATTGCAACTGATACTGGTTGCTGGGAAGCTGCGATTTGAAGAGCTCGCTCATTGTACCTCGGTACCTTTTCATAGCCATCTATTGTCACTGAATGATCTTGTTCTTTGTCTTTGTTGCATCTATCATTTCGTCCTTCATATGGGTAGTTTGTTTCTGTTGTGATGCCACCATTTGTTCTTATGAATTCAAATGCTCTGTCCATGTACCCTCCATTACAACCTTCATTTTGGCTGGTGTAATCACAGTCTACGAGCTCTTGCTCTGACAGTGACACTAACTCTCCAGTCCTGATTTTGTTGATTCCTTCCACTGCTGCAACTGCCGAGAATGCCCAACAACTTCCTGCAATGCATAGTTAATTTCGCAGCACTTGAGTACTTCAAGGTAAAAAGGTTATGGTTTAGTTCTAATTTTTGTAGTTAGTTAGTCAGTTTCTAGTATTTTTGAAAATATAACTCATTGAAGTAGTTCTGAATTGGTGAAAAAAAAAGAAAAGAAAGCAGTATTAATACAAAGTGCTTGTGCAGGTCTTCTCATACCACATTTGCCTTGATTCTTGATTGGAGTGACGGCGCCCTTCTTTCGCCAGTCCACTTCATCTGGCAACTCTATCAACTGATCTCCAACTGACGATGTGGAATTCACAAACTGCTTTAAATCAGGGTCAAAGCACTCTGTGTCTTCCTTTGAACACATTGAGCTGACAGTTGAACTCAAGAGTGAAATGCCGAAAAGCGACAGGATGATGGCGGCAGGAGAAAGGCAAGAATTTCTCATCGAAAACTTCATCATCTTGTTAGCTTTAACGGGTATGAATGTTTCTGTGATGAATGATTTATGTAGAGATGCCAATGTCGCCTTTTAAAACGAAGATGCATTACAACAGGTTGAAGTATTCAGTATCGTATGGAACTTTGAATACTTGGTTCATTTTTGTGTGAGTCAATCTTTATGCTGAATTCTGTTGGGTTCATGCAGATTGTTCATTTCGGAGCTTAGTTCGTTCAAGGGGGCAAGTATGACACTATGTTATCAGATTAGACCATGCAATTTTAGTACTATCTCCGTTTTCTTAAAGAAAAATCTCTAACCTTGGATTAAGTTATTCAACGCTTTAACAAATTAGACGCTTTGTTTTTGCTTATTTTTCCCCAGAGAGGAGAGGATCTATTTTTTTTCTGCTGCTTCTCCCATATAAAGTGGCTCCAGGATAGCAGCTTCTGTGAATACAATCAGGGTTTAATACTTGAATTTTGATATGTGGGTCAGATCAAAACGAAGTTTGCAGTAAAAAATAAGAGAAATCTTTCATTAAGATCCTGAAGATTAGTGGAGTCCAAATAAAAAAATAAAAATAAATATAGAAACTTGTACTATCGCATTTTATACTTAGATACATCTCATTAGTGACAGAGCTAGGGACATGCAGCTATTGTCACGCCCACTTTATTAAGTTTCTCTCCTCTTCTATCGCTTGAGCGGACGCCACAAAAAGTTACAGTCGAATTTAGCATCTTTACTACTCCTTCCGTCCCATAATTATTGTCCAGTTTGAATTTTTATTTTTAATTCAAATTATATTAAAAGTGAAATCTCAAACTGGACAATAATTTTGGAACGAGAATACCTTACAATATGATCTCCTTGCTGTTACTGCCCTTTTGCCATTTTTGACATTACAATCCAAACACACAAACACGGAATTTTTCCAAAATCACATGATACACATAAATCATAAATGGAAAAGGAATTAATTGATGGCTCCTACAATAACAACCATCAAGCATGTGACAGAATCAGGAGCACAATTTAAGCCCATAAACTTTAGCCATTTCCAAGTAAAATGACCAAAATCATCATCAAAATCTTTATATACAGTGTCAGTCATATGCCTGTGGAGTTTCTCAGTGACTTTCAGCAGCAGCGGCAGAACCACAAAATTTTGATTAGATCGAAAAGGTTTAATCACACGGGAATATATTGTACGTAGGAGTATTAATTAATTTCTTGCCCACAAAGAAAAAGTAAGCAAATTACTGGGTCTCATCAAACTGGGGCATTATAAACCCATACATATTCATATTCACTGAACCCAAATCACATGTGCAGGGATCCACATTGGGATTGGGTCACATTATTCCACATTCTTAAGGGGAAAATTAAAAAAAAAAAAAAACCTGCCATCAAGATTAAAAGCCATTTCCATCATTTGATTCAACTGTACAATTACCAGCTTGCAACAGAAGAAGGTACACTTGTTTCCAGTGGCAGGAATTGGATTTCACACGCATTACATTCCCTTCCCTTCCCTTCCCCACGCGATTCAATGTCGTTCGAGAACATATATTCTTTTCGTCCTAAACTAATTATCTCATGCATAATTTATATAGTAAATAAATTAAATTTAATTGTAATAATAATCATTAATTTAACACGATAGTAGATAGTAGTGAATAAAATAGTAACATGAAATTATGGATAATTTGATATATGAAAAAAAAAAAAGGGACTGTAACGGGTTATGAATTTTAAAGAATGTTTTAGCCGAATCCGCTAATTAGGCCATAGACTATCAACATCCGTGGTGTTAGTGACCTTTAATTCAAGAGAATATCAGGGTATAAATCCTAACATTTATACCTACTTAGCGTATTCATCCTAAAATTTTAAAATTGATTACTGACATTCCAAAGTTATTAAAATTGAGCACATCGATCCCATGACCTGCAAACCAATAAAAATGACCTGCAATAACATGTAAAAATTATTTGGATCCAATATTTAACATTTTTACTATTTTTTTAATTTTTAAAAAAGTTTTGGTTTATTGAAAGGCAAATAACATTAATAAAAAGAAGAAATTTACATTATTTAATTAGTTTTTAATGAATCGAATATTTGTCTTAGTCTAATTCATCTTAACTTGTTGCTAAAAGTTAAGATATATCCCAATTTTTTTTCCTTTTATTTTGAGTGAAAAAAGAATGATTAAGATTTCACATATGTATAATTGTATTCAATAACTAATCAATTTTGAGTTCATTCTAACCTTGTAAGTTTAAGTTTATGATGAATTAATTTTTTTAGTAATTAATTAAGCTTTTATGAGTTTTTTCCTTTTGAATTTTTGTTTATTTTTCTAATGAACTAAAAATAACAAAAAATAATGAATGGTAAAAAAAGAAAAAGAATAAACAAGGAACCAATAGATTTTTACATGTTATTACAGGTTATTTTTGTTGTTTTGCAGATCATGGGATGAATTTATCCAATTTTGATAATCATAGGACGTAATTGATCAATTTTAAAACGTTCAGATAAATTAACTAGCTAGGTATAAATGTTGGGACATATCTACTCATTTACCCTTTAATTCAATGTTACTATTAACAATACTCTTATTTTGGGACGGACAAAGTAATATCATTTCACGGTGAGCTAATTTATATAACAGCTGGAGACCAAAATTTCGTGAATCTATAGTGGAAGGATAGTGATTAAATTATTGTAGGACAACAATATTGTGTACTCAGCCTTATGATTGGGTTGGTGATTGGTTTTAATTTTTTTCCTTCTTCCTGAATTTGGGGGTACAGTGAACACATGACATGAGGGAGTTGGAAATTGGATCACTGACAAATCACAATGGCTACGGATAAGTACAGTACCCTCCTCATGTCTTTCTATGAGTATTTCTTCAATTTTTATATTTTTTTTAATAGAAGAACATAAATTAATTCTGAGTGGGAATATAACACTGTCAAAATTAATTTTCACTCGACAGTGCTGTAGCGGTGCTAACTCAAATCATCCTTATTCCCTAATGCTGAATTAAGTTACGTCATTTAACCTACACGCACGAACTATAATTGAATTAAATTATATTGTTTTCTTATAATAAAGAAAACTAAAGATTAAAATATCATAATACTAAATTATCATATTTTGTGGATAGAAAACTCGACAAATTAATATTCCAACCTAATTTCTATCTATAAACACTTAAATTTTTCTGATCTTGTAATCTCGATAGCTCAAATGGCACAGTGACAAATGATTGTTGTTTAATCTTTCACTATTGCGACATGATAATTGTTTAATTGTATACATAATTAAGTGGGAAAAATTGTATACATAATTAGTTCAGAATTGTTTAATCTTTCAGTTTATCGTCAAAATTCTTACCACAATAATTAAGTGGGAAAAAAGTTTCCATAAAATGAATTTAAATTAATTCAAAACAGCCCACATCAAGATGACATAATTCTGAACTAATGTTTCAAATTAATAGAAAAGTTTCAAGCGAATGAAATGATGACATAAGATGAAAAGCACTCGACAATTATTATTGGATACAACATGAATACACCCCATATATTTCTTTGTATACATGTTTTTTGGTCGAAAAATGTTAATAAAATCACAGTGGTGCAAATAATTATTATATTGTGCCATAATGCATGGATGACTAGGAATACATTTAATAAAAATGTAGCAACTATGAAATTTGCAATTCCAGAAAAATGTTTTTCAAACACATAGTAAAGCCTAAGCAATTTGCAATTTTCTTTTTACGATTGATATTAATTATCACAAAAATAACTGATTAGCTGGTAGATCTTACTGGTTGTACGTATAGTGTACCTGTCATGTACTACATGTATGTATACAATTTATACTTTAGAAGCCCAGGATCCATGTTCCACGTACGTATTGCGATTTCCCCTAATCACATAATAACCACTTAGCTAGTGCCCATCAAACACTTCATTTAGCTAGCTAAATAATTCGTTAATGAAATAAAATACCGATTTCGAATAAAAGCATCAGTACTTACATTCATCGAAATACACTTTCTCGGGTTGAGAGTGGTAACATTGGGTGCATGGGACGATAGGGTTGAGATGATATATTCGCGAATATATGAGTTCAAACTTTATCAGTAACGATTGGGGGATATATTTTTCAATTTCTTCAAAAAAATATGGAAATAAAAAGTGAAAAAAAAAAACACATAGAAAATATAGAACGAAAGGAAGAAGAAAGGGTCCTAAATGATGCCCAAGAGGGATACATGTGGGCATAGTTTGGAGACAAAGTAAAGAAGCTCAAACTGATCAAAGGCGTGCAAACAATTCACATGGCAAGACATTATCCCTTCCCAATAATCTTCATTCACTTTCCACAGCTCATCCTTCAAACTATATTATATGAACTCCTAAGTCCTAAACCGTTTTAATTAATTGTTTTTTTTTTCTTTCTTTCTTATGAATCCTCTCCACCAATCCACAAACTAATATATATACACGAGAAGACAACCTTTTGTACTAAATAAAGTACAACATAAGGATTACTCACACATGGTCTTGATTCTCAAAAGTACCTTATGTTTAGGTAAATGTATAACTGTCAAGCAAAATAGATTATAGGGTTAAATCATGCTTATATAATAATCCTTCCAATTCAGCTACATTATCACCTAAAATGAAATGACGTTATACGAGTTTATACATTCGAGGCGAAAATTTTGTTTATCTTCTCTTCCAAGGTAGTCGCACCATTTTCTTGACATACACACACTCCGGTAAATCAATTTTGTTTCACCAAAACATTACAATGTTTCCATAAATATAATCGTACAATTTGAATCAACACTCATTTCATTATAAGGGGCCAATAAAAAGGATTAGGGGAAGTTAAAGACCAATATAGTCATGATTTGCCCTAAATGTTATATCCTAGGAAAAGGAGCAAAAGAAAGAAATCAAGAAAAATGTTAATATGGGGGGAAAATGTGGACCATGAATAAACCCTACATCCTTCCATATAATTCTATACATTGCACGAACAGCAGCATGGATAAGTCCAGCCAAGAGGCCCCTATTTATCCTTTTTGAGTAGTCACATTTCATTATGCAGTTCACCACCAGTACAACATCCTGGCTAGCTAACAAAGAATATGTACACAACACACAACCCGCTAACTACTGTATTTTTATGTTCTAGGAATATTACACCATTTGATGTGAATTTATTTTCAACGATAATGAAGGGCTGATTTTACATTAGTAGTTGACTCTATAATCAAGTTGAGCTGACTTTGATGATTTGTGAATCCATAATTAAGATTTTTCTCTAGTCACAGAAACTAAGGTTTAAAATAGGTCAGCCCTTGTTGTGTTCAATCAGCTACATTGTCCAAACCAAATGTTTCCACATGCATTTCCCGTGGCTATCCCCTAGATGCATGAACTACTACTATGTTGTAGACAGTGAGTGCTTTTAGACGTCACGTTGTGGAACAGACCTATTGTTTTCCCTAAAGAAAATGAATTTAGGGTTTCCATCAACCTCACCCAGATAATCATCTGCATTTCGGAATTATATCTCATTCAACAAAAAACTTTATATATATAAATTACCATATCTCACAAAACGTGAATATTTATCGTGTACCATTTCATGAAGTTAATATATTATATTACGTATGATAAATAGGATTCTGTATATCAGCTCATACTTGTCCATCAATGTAAGTACTTCCTCCATCTTGAAATTATTATTCAGTTTGAATTTTTATTTTTAGTTCAAATTTTACCAGAAGTGGAATTTCAAACTAGAGAATAATTTTGGGACGGACAAGTATATTACTCCCTCCGTCCTATAATTATTGTCCAGCTTGAGTTTTAATTTCTAGTTCAAATTGTATTAAAAGTAGAATCTCAAACTGGGCAATAATTTTGGAGAGGTAGAAGTATATCGATATCAAAGATTGCTCAAAATGAGATGATGGAAATCCAACGGTGGGAAGCATGAGAATGCAGGACAAATTGATGAAGATATACAATAGAGGAATGTTCTCTTCTGCGTCTTGTAACAAAAGAAAATTAACAATTATTATGACACTAAAAAAAATATACATGCAATAAGCTTTTTAGCATCAGATGGGGAAAGGGTCACAAGGGCACGTGGTCTCTGATTCCTCTCTAATTATTAAAACAACCCTAGTGTGACTTCCCTCTACTTTTGGGACACCCTCTCCTCAGTCAGTAATCAGTATAGTAATTGTAATACCGTTGGTACTTCTTCATCTTTCATTCAACCTCCCTCCCCTACCAGCTGTAAGATAGCTGTCCCAATCTTCTTCCCCTCCACCCCATGTGACCCCACCATCCTGCCATCACAGAACCTCAAAAAAAAAAAAAAATCAATCAAACTTTTTTATAGTACTTCTCAAAGCTAGCATCAGAGATTGTGATTATTATGATGATGATTCTGATCAGTTTGTTCTTTTCTTTTAGCCATGTTCTTTTCTTCTTTTCCCCCTTCTAAAAAGCCTGCTTCATATTTTGCACTATATATTATGACCATTTCACTTAATTGGTAGTTTTGGTTTTCCTTCCATTCTTCACTACATATATATTGTAACAAGCAACTACTTACAAGTTACAACTTCCAACATTCATAGTTTCAAACAAAAACAAGAAAAAAAAAAAAAGAAGAAGAAAGAAATGGCTCAATTACCTCCAAAGGTACCAAACTGGCCTGATTTTTCCCACCAAAAAATTCCCACATTGGATCCAAATCCTACAACCAACACTCACAACCACAACCACCCTTCATGGGTGGACGAATTCCTCGATTTCTCGTCGGCGAAGCGGGGCTCTCACCGGCGATCCATCAGCGACTCCATTGCGTTTCTTGAGGTGCCAATGGTGGAGGAATGCCGGAGATCAGCGATTCCGGCTGCCGTGTCCGGGATGATGATGAACACCAGCCACCATCACCATGAAGAGTTCGACAAGTTTGATGATGACCAGCTCATGTCAATGTTCAATGATGATCACCCTCATATGAATGCAAATGCCAATTCTCTTCATGACAACAAAAATAATAACAACAACAATAATATGTCTTGCTCCAACCCTTCTTCTCCTTCGGATCATAACAGCATCAATGATGATAAAATCAGCCCTTCTGATCTTCAGCTTCAGCAGATGATGATGAAGAGTGAGCCTGAAGAAGTTCAAAGCTTATGCGGTTCAGATTCACAGTTTCCTGCTAATTCTAATGACTCCCTCATGGACAACTCTAGTGACAAAATTGTCGATCCAAAGAGGATCAAAAGGTAACGTATTATTATTATTTTTTTTTTGTTATTCTTCTTCTTTGCATGAAATAGTATAAGATGTATTAAGGAAATTATATTCGTTTAACTAAAAGAACATGCAGAGAAGATTGCATTATAGTTGAAAAAAAAAAAAAAAAAAAAACAGATTTGAGATTCATTCTTATTTGTTGCTTCTCTGTTTTTGCAATTTAGAATCTTGGCCAATAGGCAATCGGCACAAAGGTCTCGAGTGAGGAAGCTACAATACATTTCAGAATTAGAAAGAAGTGTTACCTCACTTCAGGTACTCATCATCATTACATTAATTTCAATGAAAATTTTTAAGAAATTTATAGAACTTTTTTTTTTTTTTTTTGCTTGTAAGTTCTTTTTGCTGCATTATATATTTCCATTATACGTGCTCACATGGGATCGTGTTGTTTTTCTTCTTGTTTTGTTTTTTTGTTGAAAATTTTGAATACAGGCTGAAGTTTCTGTACTGTCACCAAGAGTAGCTTTTCTGGACCACCAACGTTTGGTTCTAAATGTTGACAACAGCGTTCTCAAACAAAGGATCGCAGCCCTTGCCCAAGATAAGATTTTTAAAGATGGTAAGTTTGTGAAATATATTTTACTACTTTGTGTATCCTTTATAATTTCACTTGTCTCCAGATCAAAATCATGTCTTTGAGACCAAAAAGAATAACGAGTAAAATTTTAATCTAAATGAGTAATGACAAACAAACACAAGGAATTGATTTAATAAAAATGTGTATTGATGAATATGATACCTGTGAAAAATACAATATTTGTAGAGTCGTATTGCATGTCCACTCATGTGGGAACTAAAAATTTTGTCTCCTTAAACAAGTCACATCATAGTTGATTTAAGGTCTTTTTTCTTATTAAAAGATTAATTCATCAATCAATCAAAGTTAGCAAAGTGCAAGATAGGTTGATGTATATAATTAATCCCTTTTTTTTCTTACATTATTGCAGCTCACCAAGAGGCCTTGAAAAGGGAAATAGAGAGGCTGAGGCAAATATTCTACCAGCAAAACTTGAAGAAAGTGGAAAACGGGACACCATCAGATCAGCCAAAATCACAACCACCTCCTGCCGCCAATGAGAAAGAGCAACTGGTTAACTAAACTAGTTGGAAACATTGCAAATCGAACTAATTTCTTACATTCTTTCAGGTACGTACACACTAATCAAGGAACAAGTACTTTTATTTCGTCAGTGTAAAATCGGTTATATGAATTACATGTCGTCATGGTGTCTTTTGTGTTACAAATAATTTTGTGTTAATTTAAATGTTTCGTAACATCCCTACATGATTGTGTACCAATGCAGGAAGAAAATTCACCAAAGTTGAAAAAGAGTGGTGGATTGAATGCACATTCACATGATATCTTCTTATCCATCCCCCTTCATCTTCATCAATATTATTAGGCCCACGGAAACATAAATTTGTTGCAGAGGGACAAGATAAGGCCAACTTGCATCTCTTTCTGTTCTGCCATGAAAAGCCCTGGAGAAAAAAAAATTATTCTTTTTTATCCTGCTATTACTTAGGGATGGGTGTGGTTAAATTTTTGTTAACCAATCATCATTAATTCTTTTTTTTTTTTCCTCCTCCTGATTTTGTTGTATTATTCCTCTTCAACGTGATCTGGTAAAGTGGAAAAATTAAAAAAATAAAAAATAAAAATTGTTAATGTATTTGTTTTGTGTTAGAAGAGAGGTAGTGGGTTTGTGTTGGGAGGTATGAAAGCAAAGTAAGGGTTTGTCAGATAGTTGGTTTTTTGATGTCAGAAGTCAAGGCATCTTTTTCTTACTGTTTTTTTTTTTAATTTAATTCTTGAACCAATTGCTCCAGGGCATTCTTTATTTGTAATTTCTTTTTTTTTTTCATTTTTTAATAAAATGAAAAAAAAAATGTATATAGCATTTTTTAATTGTACACTTTTGGCTGTAAACCATTGATTTGTTCAGTTGGATCTTGACTCCTATTTGTTATCGACTAATCTGACTTGACTAGTTGGGTAGAGTATTTCTGGATCCCAATCTCAAGCCCTGATATTGTTGAAGACAGACAATATAATTGTAAACTTGGTAAAGAACGTACTTCTTCGGCATTTTTACGCCCCATTTGGAGTATAGATTTGTGGTATTACATATACTTGGCATTAATAACCTAACCTGGCATGGCAATGATCTTAAACAGAAGAAGAATTTTTCATATTCGCAAGGGGTCATTGACACTGTTTCCAACTGTACAACCTCGATGCAGTAACTTATCAATCCTTCACTTAGAAATCACAATCAAAATTCAAGGGGAGAAAGAGAATCAAAGACCCAGAACGATGTATAAATGTCTGAATTCAGGGATACTACATACCACGACAACTGCTTAAGCACATTAATAGACGCTGAAATGCAAGGTTAACAGTGTTATACCTAGTACATCTATCCTTCTAAAGTTTCAGCTTGGCAAAAGAAATAAGCAGTGTTTTAACAGTTTTCAGAAAGAGAGACCTGTGCATTCTTGGAAGTTCCATTACTATCACAAACACCCACAAGACTACAAGAGCGAGAACAAAAAGCATTAGGTTCTCTCCCTCAAGTAACAAAAGCCCCTAATCTTGTGGGAGTTTTTTTTTTTTTTCACTATTTCTGTTTGGGCAAATTCCAATTAGATTTTGCCAGGCAACACCACAGAAACATCAAGGTATGAAACAATGCCCTTTCCTAGAACAAGAAACCACAAAACACAACGATACTAGAGCTAACTCCATCACACCCTTCTAAACTAAAGGCAGAAAAAATAGATTCTTGTAGCAGTATTTTGTTAACATACAGGAAAAACACTAATGTGATAATGCAATACATGCAAACGCTAAACATCCAACACTTCACCAAAAAGTAGCATCCAAGTTCCAAGAAATAGGCCTTACTAAAACACTACTGCAATGCTACAATACGAAACAAAAAGAGTCAGTCTATTAAGGCCAAAGAGGAAACTATGACAACCTTGTGCAGATTGCATTTTATCTTTTATCTTCCAGAAAGTACTAAAGCTTTAAGAGAAAAGGTCAGTAATGAACATCGATTTAACAGTTACTCCCTACTCCCGGAAAGAAATCTACTTTGTTTAATTGAGTTGGTTCAATGAAGTTAATACAACTTGGTTAACAACGACCTTCGTACATTAAATTCTTTCTTATTTTGATTTAATGCTCTGAATAACTAAATTTTAAATCTTGAGTTTAACAGGACAAAAAAATTTACTTGTGTGAGACCATAAGATCCAGTGAGCACCAAAAGTTTTTCCTTTTCCTAGCTTCATCCCGAACTTTATTTAATACATGTTCATAGATGACAAGGATCTAAAAACAAGTCTGACATGCTAAAGCATCCATTTAAACAGCCTCTGGCAAATTCTTTAGAGAGCTTACCATGATGAACTATCTCCAAAGAATAAGAAAAATGTACTCAAACAAAATTAATATGGTCACAGAACATGCAGCTCCAACATGAAGCAAAGAGAAGAAAACGATTATAATACACATCAAAGACTAGTTAATCAACTAACATGAAATCTAAGAATCTCCGGGTAGATGCCACTAATTGGAAATATTGCATAGTTATTCACAAAACATGATAGCATACCCCAAAAAAAAAAAGGAATCCAGGACAGAGGCCAACAAGAGTTGGAAAATCACATTAGATGCATATTGTAATAAGAGCGGCCCAAGCATCAGAAAGGAGAATAATCGCTACGCATACGACAAACTAATCATTCAATTATACTAGAGTGAAATCTATCGAACAAAAATGACCAGATAACTACAACTTTTTCACTGAAAGAGGTCAGGAATCCCCTTTGGTTTAACAGGATAAGTATAAAGCAGCACCTCACCCACTTGAAGGGCATTCCGAAGTTCCAATCGTATCTACAACCTGCTGTTGGTCTTCCGAAACTTTAGGCTGGTGATCTTCTGAAACTTTAGGCTGGTGATCTTCTGAAACTTTAGGCTGGTGGTCATCTGAACCTATAGGCTGCTGGTCTTCTGAAACTTCCGGCTGGTGGTCTTCTGAAACTTTAGGCTGCTGGTCTCCTGAAACTTCAGGCTGCAGGTCTTCTGAAACATTAGGTTGTTGGTCTTCTAAAACTTTAGGTTTCAACCGCAATTCTCGAAGTTCTTTGACAGCATCCTCCAAGCCAGCCAGCTTATTCCGCACCCAATAAATCTTGTCGACGTACTCCTTTAACTGGAATTCATATCCCTCCATCGCTTCCTCAGCCTTCTGCTCCAAGATAGTACAATTCACTTTGTAGTCTTCTTCCTCTTTTAACCGCTGTTTCTCTATTTCGGAAGTGCTTAAGACCACTCCTCCAGGACCAACATCTTTATAAATTGACTCTTCAGGAAGCTGACGTTTTTGCCGATAATCCGTAAATGCCTTATTGGTTTGCTTCAAGGCATTCCTGTAGTCATCCAAGAGTGTTCTCATTAGAAACAGCTCACGCTGAAGACGGTACATCTCTGCATCTCTTTTCTGTATTTCCTCAGATTTTGACCTTTGTAATTGTGCAATCACACTGTCCCTCTTCTCCAATTCATTAAGTAATAGCTGGTTGTGCATGTTCAACTGCTCAAGATTCTGCTCCTTTTCCTCATACAACATTCTAGCTCTAACCATCATTTGCTGCATCTGCCCCATACATGTCCCGAAATCCAGTGACTTGAAATCCATTGGGCCATCAGTCCTCAACCTCTTGTTGCTACTATCAAGAGAACGTTGAAATATGTCGTGCTCATGGTCAACTTCTCTCTTGCCATTGGCATTGTAAAATGACATACCTTCAGAAGCTAAATGTTGTAACTCATTCCTACTGTCAACAAGATCAATTGAGGAATCACCATGAAGATGTCCCTGTGAAAAAACAATATGGTCCGCCTCCATACCTTGAAGAAAATTGCCAGTCAATCCCTCCCCTCCAACAGTATCATCACCTGGCCCAACATCAAATCCTTCTTCTGCCTCTTCTTCCTCGTCGTCTTCACCCTCCAGCTCATCAACTTCCTCCTTCCTCTCCTCAAAACTATCAAACCGGCCAGCATGTCCTGCACCACAAGGCTGCAAGAAATGCTGACCGAAATTGTTCTTTCCATCCACACGCCACTGTCCCTCCGCCACATCCTCCTCAAGATCCATCGTGGCAGCATCTTTCCCCCCTTCCTTTTCCCCAACATCAGGTCCCAAAGTCAACTCAACATTAGGCCCGCCAAACACATCATTTCCCTGAACCTGACTCATATCATCCATGTTAACATCGGAACCCTTATCCTCTGTTGCCTCTGCATCCAATTTCTCTTTGCTCTCCTTCTCTTCCATGACAACCTCCTCTTCTGCATCCAGATCCACTCTCTCTTGCTCCTCCTTCAAGACCACCCCATCAATCTCCAAATCCCCTGTATCTTCCAAAACCAGCTCCTCGGGCTTTGTTAACATCAACTCGGCACGCTGTGACTTAATCAAACACTGAAAATGCGAAGCATAATAACAATCAACCAAACGTTCCCCTTTCATCAACTCCTTCTCAACCATGAACCATATCAGTCCTGGCCAGTCCACCTTTCCGGGATGCCCATCCTTGATAGCCTTGGTCCAATTCAACACTTCATTGGGCATCATCCAAGTGTCCTCATGCAAGAGTATCCAGTTTGAAACAAAACTCTCAATAAAACCAATAGATTCGTCAGACAACGTCTCGAATTCCAAGTCCACTAAATCAACGCCTTTCTCCTTTTTAACGGGTAGTCTTAAAGCCCTACCTAAATCAGAACGATTAACATTGATCCGGAGATCATTAACATAACTACACCGGCCCTTAGGGTCATAATTAGCAATCAACTTCGCAATCAAGTCAACCCTAAGACTCCTATCAAATTCAATATGACAAAAATCCCACAACCCGAGCCACTTTAGCAACCTCTCGTGTTTCGAAAACTCAGAAACCCTAGAGGGCACAAAAGGGACGGGCTTCAAATTATCCAAAAGGGTTTGCAATTTCTTCTCAATAGCCTGCAGTTTCTTAACATTCACTTTCCCCTTCTTCCTCTTACTCAATGACCTCTTTAAGGAAGGCTGGGCCCTGGTTGACACCATACCGGCGTTTGGGTCAACAAGGGTATCAATAGAACAAGGGGGATCGGGAAAATCAGAGAGAGTATCACCTGGGTTATCCGGGTCTTGGTCCGGGTCTTCCCGATCGCCGTCGGCTTCGTCTTCCGGGTCTTGTTCACAGTCGTTGATGTGATCCAATATGGGATTTTGCTTATCCGGGTCGGGTTGGATTGCAGGATCAATTGGTGGAACTAGGTCTTGGGGGGGAGAGTGAGAGTCATTTTGGGGATTTGGGTCGGGTGAGTGGATTTGAGAAGAAGCTTGAGGCTCGGAATGGGAGGGACTACTGCTACTACACATGGATTGGGCGGCGGTTGATGTGGCGGAGGCCGGAGTGGTGGTGGTGGTTAAGTAGAAAGGTGCGGGATGAAGTCCCTCTTGTTTGCCTCGTTTGAAGTGAAGTTTCATTCGAAAAAGAGATCGATTGTAATTTCAATGCTCTATCTCTCTCTTCCTCGCTCTGTGCATTTCTTTAGTTAGGTTTATATATTTTTGGGAGAAAAAAGAAATATTTTTTGTCCCAATCATAACAAATATCTATATTTCTTTTTTAGTAATGATTTGGATTGATTTTCATTATTTTTTTTTGTGTGACCAATTGATAAAAATCGCCCTTATTTTTTAGGAGAAGAAATTTGATTTTCATTATTTTTTTTTGTGTGAGCGATTGATAAAAATCGCCCTTACTTTGGAGAAAAAATATTGTAACTGAACCATTCAACGATCGACGTTGTTGAAAGTTGAAACAAAGTTTTCATCCGTGAAAATAATTGTAATGTTTAATTGATTGTATCATTACAAGATTTTCTTAATTCTAGTCTTTTTTTTTTTTGAGAAAACTTATCGCCACTGCCAAAAAAATACTTGGACGCACACTGATTAAAATTGTGATCTAACCACAAGATTATTGACCGAATCGCTCACTCATAACATTACGGAATTTTCCTAACAAAAATTATGCATTTATAAATACTTTTCTTTTGATTTATACTCCCTTTGTTCCGGCAAAATTGTCAATTTCGCTAAATAATTATACTATATTTTTTTGTGTTTTTATGCCATGACATTTTTTTGTCGAGGGCTTCTAATAGTCATATTTTACTCTCAGGATTCTAAAATTTTTTTTTGCGAAATGTAATTCTCAAAATTTGTAACTTGTGGTTTGATGTAGTCATTTAAAAGGGCAGTTATAGACATTTTGTTGTTATATCAACAAAATCATTACTTTTGAATTCTTATTTTTTAAAAAAATTATTTTTTAGTCTAAAATAATTTCTCTTTTTTTTTGTAAATAGTACTATTATAATGTTTTAGTACAAGTCGTACTCCTATTTTATTTATTATATGCATTTGGGACTGGATTTGATGTTAATTTGTAAGTAAATTCAAAATGTTGAATCTCCTCTCAATATATCGTAATTGAATAATATCAACTAACTCAGCATGGTTCTTTGAGCACACAATAAGTGAAAAAAAAAAAGTATTTCCTCAATTTCAATTTAATAGAAACATTTAGATATGTATAAAGATTAAGATAATACAGATGATATGATTCAGCGGTTAATTTTTTAACGAAATTTTATAATACACCCTTGAAGTTTTAGTTGATACAGGTGAGAGTAACTGAAGTTGAAATTAATATTCTAGAATTTAGTAAAATTGGTAGTAATACATATTGGAAAAAAAAATTTGGTAAAGATAAAATATATTAATCAAACAGAAACTTGTATTTCTTTACACAAATATTTACACTTTGTTTTTCTCTTTCAACCTTCTCCTACCCTCTATAGCTTTTTACATAGAATAATTCCTTTAGACTCTAAAAACTTCAGTTCTGATCTTGTAACCTTCTTAATGCTTTGTTTGCATTCTCCATTTCAGCTCATGTTTTATGCTCTCAATTCTGTCCTCAATCAGCCTACTTTCTTGTGCAAATCTTCCAGAATTTTTTTTTCTATCTATACATTGTAAACGGAGGCTACAACAGCTCCTGCTGCCAGCTGCTTCCTCACTTTCTGAGACTGACACCCATATCGAAATCTCTGGTGCAGATGCTTCAATTATTTCCCTCGCATTTTGATGCCCACCCATTCCAGCGACTTTCTGATCATCAATTCTGAGTATCTGCACTCAAAGAAAAGGTGAGTGCAACTTTCTATTAAATTTGCATCACATAATACACATCCAGTTTGCAACCCTGTAGTTCTCATTCTGCTAAGCCTGTCAACCGTCAACAATCTATTCTGTCATGCCAGCCAAGCTATGAAGCTATGTTTGGGCAGGCAAGTCTTGTTCCATATCATTTCAGTTGCTACAAAAGTCGGCCCTTTAGTCCTCCAATGATCATAACCACTGCGAATTGTATACTCTTTCTTCCCAGGTTCCCATAATCCAGCATCTATTCTCTCCTTTAGCTTATTCGTTATCCCCACAATCTTCAGCATATATTGGAAAATTAATATATAAAGAATTTAATTTAACGTCTAAATTGAGATTAATTGAGTAAAACAGGTGCAATTCACCTAGTATTTGCATAGTAACTAAAACACTTTTTTTAAATATATATATATATATATATCAAACTACATAATTTTACGTGATACAACAGTTATATAGCATATTTATTTGTCACCTATCCTTCCTTATTTTACAAGAGTTCAAATACATTCTATTATAAATCGTCAACTGGAAATTAACCAAGAAGAGAAGAAAAGAGCTGAGAAGCTGTGTTTAATACTATATGAGAGTATAACCTTGTATCCAGACATGCGCAGTATCTAGGAGCTCTTAAAAGAAAACAGACAAGTGATTTATATATATATATATATATATATATATATATATATATATAAAATTACTCTAGTGGATCTCACTTAAATGTAGGTTAAATCCTCCTCCCCACCTAACAACCTCTGACAAGAATCGAACCCTAATCTATTATTAGGAAGGACAGCAATCTAACCACTATGTCATTCAATTCCCAACAAACAAGTGAAATTTATACACACGCCAAATATAATAATTTATTCGCTGATACTCTGACATTAGGCAAAAATGAGAGCTTATATTTTTTTGATATTATTCCTAGTTATATATCATTAATCCTTGCAAATGACAATGTAAGACTATGTATGGCTTTCGATCGAGGTGCCCAACCTCAATGCATAGGAGTATATTTGCTTTTCGACCAAAAAAAAAAAAAAAAGGCTAAGGAGGAATCAAGCTGAAAACCGGAGTTTAAAGGGGAGGGAGAATATAAGAGGGGTGATGATTTTGCCGAAACAGTTTTTAGCGTCCGGGGCAAATTTAAAATAAAAGGACATAATTACCCATCTTCAATGTATCAGCATTTTTCACCTTCTTTCGCCTCCTGCGGTTGCACTCTCCTCCGCCATCGGCCATGCCAAAAACAGAAATCTAAAAATTTGCCTTCTGTGTGTGTAAACCTTTTACCAATCTCACAAAGAACCGTTTTCAACTTTTCATGTTCTCATTGCAAGAAAGAAGAGACTAATTTCGTTGTTTTCTCCATCCCTTTGAAAGTATTATCTAGTTGAAATCAAAATTTGGGTTTGGAGAAAAAATTGTTTGAAATCTGTTGAGGCAATGAATTTCTCCGCATAACATATCGGTACTACATTGAAGAATCACCAAGTTCTAAGGTCCTTTCTTTATATCTTTATTATGCATCATTGTTGCGATATTTTTTTCCCTCTCTCTCTCTCGCATTAAGTCACATTAGATTGGTTCTCATCATTGTTGATTGGTGAAGTAGCAAAATTTAATCTACCTAATTTCTACTTTTTCTATTCGATTCCGAAAATTTGAAGCATCTTTGAATCTAGGATTTTTAGCAATTAGATTGAAACAAAATCTGAGACAATTAAAAGGCCTTCACTAACCAACAAGATGAAAGATAGAATTCATGAAAGATGGAATTGAATTGCCGCAGCAGGGAAGGAGTAGCATGAGGGGTGGATGAGAGGTGGAAGATGACGACAAGTACAAGGAATTGGATGGTGGGTAATTGTGTCATTTTATGTTAATTTTGTACCAAATGCTAAAAGTTATTTTGGCAGAATCAGATCTCATATAAGAGGGGTCGTTGCTAGTCTCTGGTAAGTAAAAAGGCAGAGGGGTATGAAAAGGATTTATGCATGATTTTTTTAATAGATTTTTCGTGAGGTTTTTTTTCTGGTTTAAGAAAAAAATTTGAGATCATTTTTTCATTGTATGAGTCACTTCCCAATAAATTTCATCACAAAATTAGGAAAAGATAGCTAAATAACTTTAAAAACCTAGAAAAGAATCTATCTATATACTATATTAAGGCAAAAACCAGAAAGAGAAATCTAAAGTTAAGGAGCACATGCATTTTCTTAATTTTCTAGATACAAAAATGCACAAAACAAAACAATAAAAAAAAAAAAGCGCAACTAAAAAAATCCAAACCCTATATTGATTCGACCAAATCCCTGCAAATCCGATGGACGGATCTCTTCCTCCTAAAAAAAACGCCACTGAAAAAGAATTTTATATTAATAATTTATTAAAATAGTTAAAGAAGTTAGGCCAACCTGAAACTTCTATAATTTAGCTTCAAATATGGAATTAAGTTAAAATACTATGGTGATGGATTGATATAGCGGGGCTAAGAATGGCTCTGGCAAAGAATAAAAATATTAAAAGACTTCAATTATGGCTATTCTTTCTTATTCTTTTTTAATGTTTTGAAATCCAAATTTTTAGTTTATCTTTCTTGAACCTAAATGGCAAACTGTACATACATTAGAAATAAATATACTAATTTATACATGAATCAACTACTACTCGCTAAGTAAGAAGGTCTCAACACTCGGGATCTCACAAAATGGTCTGAAGATGGATAGAAAGCAAAACAGCTGAGAAGCTGTTTGTTTTGTCATGCAGAAACGGGATCAAGAAACGGCTTTGAATACTGACGAAATGGTTCTTCTTGAATGCTGATGAAATCATGATTCTAACGATGCTATTTGTTTTGAAATCTAGAATAGTTTGATTATTACCTCTGTTTAGCTAATCTTGGTAATGAATTTCAAGTTCAGGTTGTGCTCATCATTCCATTGAAAATTTGCATAGATTTCTGATGCACACTACATTCCAACAATAGTACAGTGACTGTTGAATTGGTTATCTACTTAATGTTTTTTATTTCAATTTCTGTTTCCTAAAAAAATATTTGTACTTTTTAATAAGATAAATTTATTTGTCTAATCATGTGTGACTGCTAAATGTTTCATGTTTTCAACAAATATTAAGGGGTTTATGCGGCTAAATATTGGGCTCTTAATTTTTGGTTCCTTTTTTTTCCTTAAAAGAAGTATATCTATATATATATATATATATATTTATATATTATAGTAAAGCAAACTCCAGAGAGAGAAAATCTAAGGTATCGTGTCATGCCACATA